GACACTCCGTCCTTCCTCTGTTCCACAGCGTTTTGTCCTGCCGTTACCTCCTGCGCCCTCTCGTCCTGACGTTGCTGACCCTCCGTCTGACCTTGCTCGTGCGTCTAGTCCAACTGTTACTCGCTTTCTTGCTACGGTGGTGACTGACCCTTCATTCTCGTCTCATGCTGCGTCTGCCTTAGTCGCTGAGCTCGTTGACTTTGCTGCTGTGTACCGCCTAGACTACCTTGCGAGTATTGTTTCTGACCATGTCCCTGCCTGTCCTCCGTCCGTCGGGGGTGAGACTGCCCTTGGCTGTACTGCCCTTGGCTGTGACGTTCTTGAGGACATGCAGGAGGAGCTGGAGTGCCTTGCGGCCGCTGCACCCCATCTCGCGACCATGCTGCTTGTCCCTGAGGGAGACCCGGATGCACTTGACATCCCCACCCTGCGCTCTTACAGAGAGGCGATTTCGGGTGAGTACTCCTCTCAGTGGCAGACAGCCATGGACGCAGAGATGGCTTCTTGGAAGTCCACAGGCACCTACGTCGACGAGGTTCCCCCACCTGGGGCAAACATTGTCAGTGGCATGTGGATTTTCAGAGTGAAGCGGCCGCCGGGTTCTCCGCCTGCCTTCAAGGCACGTTACGTTGCTCGAGGCTTCAGTCAGCGTGCGGGGGTCGACTTCTTTCAGACCTTCTCCCCTACCCCGAAGATGACCACTCTTCGGGTGTTGCTACACGTTGCAACACAGAGCGACTACGAGCTGCACTCCCTCGACTTCTCGACAGCTTTCTTGCAGGGTAGCCTTCACGAAGCCATCTGGTTGCGCCGTCCAGAGGGCTCCACTGGGTCGTTTCCTGAGGGTACCCAGTGGAGCCTACGGCGACCAGTGTACGGCCTGCGTCAGGCGCCCTGCGAGTGGCACGACACACTGAGGACGACACTTGCGGCTCTTGGGTTTGCTCCTTCGACTGCTGACCCGTCGCTGTTTCTACGCACCGACACTACTCTGCCGGCGTTCTACATCCTCGTATACGTTGACGACTTGGTTTTTGCTACTGCTGACACTTAGGCACTCGCCCTAGTGAAGGCGGAGCTGCAGGAGAGACACACCTGCACTGACCTGGGTGAGCTGCGGAGTTATCTTGGCTTGCAGATCACCCGGGACAGAGCACGACGCACCATCACCCTCATTCAGTCACACATGGTGCACCAGGTCCTTCAGCGCTTCGGCTTCACGTGGTCCTCGCCACAGCCCACTCCTCTGTCTACAGGCCACTCGCTCTCAGCTCCACCTTCAGACGAGTCCGTAGAGCCGAGTGGTCCGTACCCAGAGCTTGTGGGCTGCCTCATGTACTTGATGACGTGCACACGACCTGACCTCGCGTACCCTCTCAGCCTCCTGGCTCGCTACGTGGCACCCGGTAGACACCGAAAGGTGCACTTTGATGCTGCGAAGAGGGTACTGCGTTACTTGTGCAGTACATCGGGCATGGGGCTCGTGCTTGGAGGACGGGGTTCAGTGGTACTCACAGGACACTCTGACGCTTCTTGGGCCGACGACCAGGCGACTCAGCGTTCGTCACAGGGTTACATCTTCAGTCTTGGCTCTGGTTCTGTCTCGTGGAGGTCCACTCGTTCTTCTTATGTGTTTGGTTCGAGCTGTGAGGCCGAGATCTACGCTGGGGCCATGGCTGCACAGGAGCTTCGCTGACTGACCTACCTGCTGACCGACTTGGGGGAGCGGCCTCGTTCTCCTCCAGTTCTGTACGTCGACAACAAGGCAATGCTTGCCTTGTGTCGCGAGCAGAGACTGGAGCACAGAACGAAGCACATTGCTCTTCGCTTCTTCCTTGCGCGTGAGCTGCAACAGCGTGGTCAGCTGCGCCTTGCTTACGTGGCCTCTCGGGCCAACACTGCTGATGTCTTCACCAAGGCCCTTGGGTCTGGTGATCATCAGCGTTTCTGCACGGCTCTTGAGCTTGTGCCCACTCTGCGTCACCTGCTGGTTGCTTGACTTGCTCTTGTTGTACACTGATATATATCTTTATACCTGCATGTTTACTATTGCTAGGTTGTGATCAGTGTACTGCCTTGCTATTATAACTCTGCATGTGAACTGGCCTTGTGGCCGCTTGCTTGTGCTCAGATTGTGTGGTGTCATTGAGATCCACCCTGAGCTTTGCTTTGCTTTGTTCTCTTGCTTGACTGGTCTTGTGACCGTTCGTTGTGTTTGCTATCCCCCACTTTGCCTATGGGGGTGTGTCAAATTCCATTTGTATGCTTCTAGGCTGTAGTGGGGCATACTCTAGTGAGTACAACCCTTTAGGGTTTCATACTTGTACTCATCCTGCTGCTAAATGCAATCATTCCTGCCTGCTTATTGTAACAACATGTTTGCCAATGGTTATGTTCGCTAGCAGCACACAAAGTCGTTTGTTGGCATACTGGTTCGGTGGTGCTGGATAGTTGTTTGTCCTTTTGGACTTGTACAAGCATCTAACCTTCCATAAAATCATTAAGCTAGAATTTAAAACAATGGCCAGACATGAGGTGATGGCCAGAACTTGAAGTAGTGAGCTTCGTAATTGCACATAACCGCAATAGCTTCTTTCGAGGCACTCGTAAGGGCGACGGAAGATACTTTATTGTTACCTGGCACGCGGAAGATGTCATCCAACTGTACACTCGGGAAATCTGGTGGTGGGATGTGGCGCTCATTCTGTAAAACAGACTCACAGGCATCTTTGATCCGTGCGACATCTTTAGGGCAGTTTTCCTTCGGAAACCTGGTATGGAGGGACAATGACACACAAAACACTAGTGAAAGAATCCTTCTTAACACTACTGTATTTAAGTTTCACCACGGTCAAACAAGCAACAAGACACAACCACAAGCTCCCCAGAACGAAATGCCAGCCTGGAGACGTTGAGGCCTCGATTTGACTCTTCTGGGTCAGGTCCACAAGGCTGATCTGTCGTCATGGAACAACGCTCTGCCCGGCCAAAGCTCCCGTGGTGACGAGAATGTTTCATCGTCACCTCACCTGGTTGGGCATTGGATGGGGGTTGCATACAGGTCACTGAGATCTTTAGTCAGAATATGGTCGGGAATAAAAGACAAACATCGTTGGAAAAACGAACACTCTCCCCTTGTTCTTCTCGTCCCTTCCACAGTCCACTTCGTCCCCTCGTCTCGTTTGAGGTTCGTGGGGCAGATGAAGGAGATGCATGCTGGCAAGGGCATAATGTACAGCATATGACTGAAATCTGCAACTACGCCTCTCTTCATACCCTAGATGAGAGGGTTTTGAAAGTCTCCTATGTTTGCCGACTTTCTAGAGCCGATACATCGGGTAACTGTTGAACCAGTGATGTTCTTGCTTGGCTCATGAAGCAATCCCAAGCCAACCAGGCCACCACACCAAATCCCTTGCGCCAACAGATACGATTCACGATCGCATTCGGTCGTGCATTGATTGTAACATTGCCATCGCAAGCTCCCCTTAACCTGAAATTTATTGGGAAAGGGTTTTGAAAGTCCCCTACACCATTGCTGCTTTCCCCACGGTTCTCCAAGTTGTCCTGTGTATCTATTTGGAGTCCTGAACACTATCTGGTCATGCCAGCAGAATCAAACCATCGGCTTTCCGCTCCAGAATTCACAAGTGGATGATGCTTTTGAAACCAGACACCGTGTTGTTGTTGTCCCCTCGATTCAGGCGAAAAGGAGGTTCAGTTGCCCCTCTGTTTGGGAAAATTTATGTTGAATACACCCCCATTTTGATGAATATTGAATCCCTTATCCCTCCAGTGAAGTGTAGCTCGTTGCACCAATCACGTGTCCCAGTTTTCTTCACCCTCGGCCCACACAACTGGCAGCTGGGTGGGGCGGTGCACCTCAATTCACTTGGTCCCACCCACCCCCACACTTGACTCCTCCACGCGTCTTCTTCTGCTTCATCCCTCTCTCAATTCCCATCCCACCCTGCTCGTCGCCGTCTCATCCTTGTTTCAGCTCCACAGTTCCACTCTGGGATTATTCACGTCAGTTAGTCGTCGAATTACAAAATTATTCATCTGGTTGGGTCGGATCACTCCTAGCTTCATGGCCGACGGCGTGACGTTTCCCTTCTTGCGGCAAGTCGGCTCACTTTGGACCTCTGAGGTAACTCATAATTTCTCTTCTCTCCACTCTCTCCGCCATTTATGCCCTTCCTAATCTCTCCGCCCACGCCTTCCAAAGCCTGCACCCTGTAAGGCCCTGGATTTCTTATCCTCCGCCTTCGTTTCTTGTTTCCTGCTGGTTGCGCAGGAGGATCTGGTGCTCTTACGACACGTGGCAGTGCATGGGACCAAGTATTGGGGCTTCCTTCAAGCGTCAGGGACGCTGCCGCATCGGGACCAAAAAGCGTGTTGCAACCGCTTTATTCTGCTTAAAAAGTGCGACATGACCTTTCTGGCCTAGTAATTCCTCCTTCCTCCTCCCCTTGCAACCATCTCCAGCCCCGACCTTTTTACGCACTCTTTCCTCTTCCGTCGACGCTGTAACCATCTCTGTTTTTTTGCTCGTGCACATTCAGGCATTCGGTCTTCACCTCCGCTCACTTTTCTGTCCCGTGTGTGTCGTGTGTCGTTTGCGTGCCGCGTTCGCCCCTGCGTTCGGTCTCGCGTCGCCTTTCTCTGTGTGCAGGCGTCATTTCTTAGAGCGAGGCAAAAACATTCCGCGAGGCCAGAACAGGGCGCTTTCGTCTCGGGATGACCGCGCCATTGCCTCGTCGGTCTTACAGCTTCCGCGCGACTCGTTATCCTCCCTCGCGAACGACTCCCAATCCGCGCGATCTCCGCGAGACCTTTCGCGAGATCTGTCGCACGCGGCGGCTACCGCGGCGACGCCTTCAGCGATAGGGTCTGCGACGACGACGGCGATGGCGACAGCGGCGGCAGGCGTTGCGAATGGAGAGTCACAGGCGAGCGCGTGCAGGACAGACTCCGCGGCGCATAGCAGCCAGCGGCTGATGTCGTGGGCCGCCACGGCGGGGCGGAAACTCCAAGGCGAGCTCAAGCGCTGCCGCGAGGAGAGCGCTGCTGCTGCCTCCGCTGCCGCCGCCGCCGCCGCCGCTGCCGCTACTGCTGCTGCTGCAGGCGTTCGGACGCAGATGATGGCAGACGAAGGCGTGACTGCCGCGACGCAACGTTTTCTTCCAGGGGGGCGCTTCGAGGCGAACAGAGACGACCATGTCGATTCCGCGTGGACCCGGAGGTAATCACGGTCCGAGCCGGTTTTTTGTTTTTTGTTTTGGTTTTTTTTGTTTGTTTGTTTGTCGTTGTTTTATTTCTTCAACTTCCCTGCATGGGGTCACGGTCGCCGACGCTGCCTCCTCTACCGCCGCCCCTGCGCGTTGTCGTCGTCATTGTCGTATGTCTTGAACGCAAATCGCTCTCCTCGCTCACCACTCCTACCCGCCTCTCGTGTACCCACCACCCGTCCCCACCTTCGTCCCCGCAGTGTCAAACCCCGGGTCGATGCTGCAAGCAACGCGCAAGCCTTCCCCGCATCCATAGCGTCCGCAAGCCGAGTTCTTCCGCCACCGTCCGGCGCCCTCCCCAACGCCTCCGCTGCCGCCGCCGCTGCAAGCGCGGACCTAGACCTCGCCGTTCGCCTATTCCCATCGATCCGGGCGTTCTTGGGTGCGGGTTCCAGGACCGTTCTTGCCGGGCCGGAATCCGCGGCCGACACGGTGGTTGCAGGGTCGTCGTCGTCGGTGGCTGCGGCAGCGGCGGCAGCTGCTGCGTCCATGGCGTCTGCTCCCTCCGCGTTCTTCGCGGATCCTCGTGAGGCGCGCGTCCCGTCCTCGCCGTCCTCATCCCCGCTGCAAGCAGCTGCCGCGGATGCGACAGTCGCATCTGCCTCCCGCGCCGCATTCGCGCAGGCGCAGCGACCTCCCGCGCAACTTGCAGCATCTCCATTCCCCGCCTCCTCCGCCATCCTCCGCCACCTCCTTTGTTCCCACTCGCAATCCTCCGTCGCGCTCTCGTCCTCCGCCCATGGTCGCGCAACCCTCGCTGCCGCCGCCTCCGCGTCGGCCTCCCCGTACGCGGCCGCCGCGGCGAGCAGCAGACCCGGAGTCCCGGGGCCTGTCGCGTCGCCATGCGCGTCGTCAGCGTCGCCGTCGTTGGCGCCGACGTCCTTCTCGCTGTCGCACTCGGTCGCGTCCGCGGGATTAACAGGCCCAGCGCGCAGTGGCGCGCAGGGGAAGAAATGGGGTTACTCCGCGAGCGGGGAGGTGGACAGGGAGGAGGCGTGCATGGCGCAGTGTGTCCCGGGGGAACGGGCGTCTGGGTGGAACATGCAGGAGCAAGTAGTGCCCAGGAGCACACTCGCGCGCTCCAGACTCGCTCATTCACCTATGGATCGCGCCACTGCTGCTGCTGGTGGATTCACAGTAGGAGCCGGTGCTGCTGCGGGCGTCACCAACAACACTGCTGCTGCCACTGCGGCTGGTGGTGGTGCTGCGGGTGCTCCTTGTCCTAGAGCCGCTGCTCTGGCATCTGTCCTTAGGACTCGGCTGCCTGGTTACTCCCCATCTCCCGTGCCATTTGCGTCAACGCTTGCTTATTCTCCCGCGGCACCTGCTGCTCTCGCCGGTGGTTCTCGCTTCGCTTCGGCACCCTCTGCCATCCCTGCTGCTGCTGCTGCTGCACCTGGAGCCATGGCGTCAGCGCAGGAGGGAGCGGAGCGCAAGGCGATGCGCATGCTCACGCCAAGCAACCCAGCTGCAGGTGGGGTGATGGCGGAGAGGAGCAAGGAGGAAGGTGTGTTCGGCTGGATGTACGGAGGCGGTGCTGGGCCAGAGCACCTGCAGGCTCTGCTGGGGTCCATGGCACGGAGAGTGAGCGAGGAGCAAGGGCACGGGGTGGAAGCGAAGGATGAGTCCTTAACGGGGATCATTCTGCCAGATTCTGGAGTGGTTTCACCTGATACGGATGCTCCTGGAGGAGGAGGTGGAGCAGCAGCAGAATATGGAGCAGCAGCAGTGGCATCAGTTGCTGCAGGAGCGGCAGCATCGGTGGGAGCAGGGAAGAGTACCGGTGTGACTGGGGAAGGGCAGGGCGACTCCGATGTGCTTCTTGATGCGATGCTGGATGGGCTCTGCGACCTTCTGGTTCCTGATTGGCAACCGTCTGCCTCTGCTGCTCTCCCTCCCGTTGCCGGATCCGATGCTGCTGCTGCATATACCCCTGCCGCCGCACCTGCGGAGACTGCAGCGGCTGCTGGTGGTACGGCAGGGGTTGTGGCGCCGTCTGAGGTGCCGGCGGATCAGGAGCAGCTGCAGTTTGTGGCAGCTCTCTTCGAGCAGCACCAGCAAGGGCAGGAGCCGCAGGAAGAGGTGCTGGCAGTGGCATGGGAGCATGGGATGCAGAAGGAGCGCGAGTGGATGCCGAGTGCAGAAGCATTCAAGCACACATTTGTGGATCCCTCAGATCCGTATTTGTTGATGCAATCCCCACCTCCATCCGTGTCATCCCTGTTGACGGTCCCAGAGAGACCCAGCCTTGCTTCTCGGAGGGTGCCTCGATTCCTCGCAGGCACGGTTGACCATAGCTGTGTTGTTCCCAAGTCGCTTCCATCGGCCGCCTCAAATGCAGAGGTTGGAAAAATTGTGGATGGAGATTTATTCGGAAAGGATTTCTACGCTCGGCCTGATATGGTACTTGAGAGAATGGCAGCTGGTCGCACTCACCATTTGTGAATGGGAACTGACAGCTCAAAGCCAGTATTCTTATATTTATGTTAATGTTATATTGTTTGTCGGATTGGTTGAGTAGGCAGGGTTTGTAGCGTGTGGATTGTGATTTTGTTTGTTCTTGGAGTTCAGTCCATAAGATTGTCAGAAGGTTGGTCTTGAATTGACAAAGTGGGAATTTGACGAAGGTTGGTCCAATCCAATACCGCAAATGTCAAAAGGTTGTTCGTGATTTTAAAGAATTTATCTTAGCATGTAGGTTCGACATAGCAGATGCACATTGAGCCCACTTATATCGGTCCGTCACCGCTACCCGTTTCGCTTGATTTTGGCGACCGTCGCGACAACTCGTTCCCTCATCCTGTTTCTGCTTACTGCAACGTCTCTCTACCCTGTCAAACCCCCTCCCTCTCCTTCTCTCGCCTCTCTTTCTCCACCTCCTCATTTTGCCTCTTCCGTGTGCCTAACGCGGCACTCCTCCAGCAGTCCCTTATTCTCCTCGAATCGCCACCCGAACACCATGGTACGATGTGTTTGGGGCGTCTCGTGTGTCGTTGCGATGCTTATTTCGTGCCATCGCGTCGCTTGGTTTCGTGTGTATAAAACGTTCTTAAGTCGAGCGCACAGGATGCGAATGGGATCGTCTAGGGTTTATGAGCTGCAGGCATACGTTGACCGTTATTGTCCTTCCACGTACGCCGACTCTGTGATACTGGCGGTTTCGTATTCTGCTTTAGGTTTTTTTTATCAGGCACAACAATAAGCTTTACCACGACTAGCAATTTCTTGAGCTGATCAGATTTGAGACGTGAGGTTGCTTGTCGCAGCCGTTTTAAAGCGATCCCTCCCGTAGTTCTCTCATTCCGAAAGCTCCTGTCGCTCGTCATTGTTCCAGAGCGGTCTTCACTCCTTTCAATGGCACAGCGCCATTGGCATGATCCTTCACGCTCTCCTCTTCCACCGCCTCACCGGATCTTTCCCCCTTTTCTCCTTCTGATGGTGTTGGCAATTGTTGCGATGGTGGCAATGGTGGTGGTGACTTTTGTGGTGGCAGACTGTGAAGCGAAGGAACGGAGGTCGCAACAAGCACGGGCGCGGGCACGTGAAGCCCATCCGCTGCTCCAACTGCGCCAAGTGCTGCCCCAAGGCATGCTCCTCACCCTCGCCACACTCGCCCTCCTCCCACCAATCCCTGTCCCTCTCCGTTACTCATGGCCAGACGCCCTTCTCTTCCCCGCCCTCCTCCCTCTCCGCCACTACCCCCTGATTTCCTGTTTTCATCGCGTGAAATCGCCGCTCGCTGCAGTAGAGACAGCGCGGGGAGCGATTCAAAGTTGGGTGCATGTTCCTGTGCTGTTGTTACAGTCCCTAACCCTCCTCCCGTCGTGCGTTTGCTGCTGTGATGTTGACCTCTTGTCGTGGCGTGTGATGGGCATGCGCGATCCCGCGCGCGTGGGTGTGTGTGTGTGTGTGTGTGTGTGGGTGTATGTGTGTGTGTGTGTGGGTGTATGTGTGTGTGTGGGTGTATGTGTGTGTGTGTGTTGGTGTATGTGTGTGTGTGTGTGTGTGGGTGTGTGGGTGTATGTGTGTCTGTGTGTGTGTGTGTGTGTGTGTGTCTTCTTCTGGGTGTGTGTGCGTGTGTGCGTGCGAGCAGGACAAGGCGGTGAAGCGGTTCCTAGTGAGGAACATTGTGGAGCAGGCAGCAGTCAGGGACGTGCAGGAGGCATGCGTCTATGATGGTCAGTGCGCCCCGCCTTGCCCCTTCCGCCTCAGCACCCCGCCTCCGCACCCCAGCTCCGCACACCTCGTTCCGCCCTCCGAACTCCGGCGTCCGAATTCCGCTCATCGCACTCCTCACGCCTCACCCGATGCCCCTGTGTCATCGCCATGCCTGCACCTGTCACGATCTGCTCACCTCTCTCATCGCTCCCTTTCCTCGTTTTCCGTCCCTTCCTCTTCCCCTGTTTTCCACACCCTTGTGTTGCTCCCCACTGCTCGTCCTCCTTGCTGTCTCCGTCCAATCCATAGGCCGCACATTTCCTGTCCGTGCTTCCTCATCCTCGTTTGTCAACAACGCCACCTACTCCTCGTTTCTCACGTCTCCTCTCTCTCTCTCTCTCCTTCCCCCTTCTTCCTCCCCCCCCCCCCCCCCCCCCCCCTCCCCCCTTCTCTCCCCCTCTCCCTCCCTCGTCATTTCCCTCCCCCCATTCTGTCCCGCGCTCCGCGTGTCCCCCTGTGTGCGTGCGCGCAGGATACGCGCTGCCGAAGCTGTACGCGAAGGTGCAGTACTGCATCTCGTGCGCCATCCACTCGCACGTTGTCAGGGTGCGCTCGCGCCAGGCCAGGCGCATCCGCGAGCCGCCCAAGAGGCCCGGGCGTAAGGTGAGAGGGGTTTGCAGAGGGGCTGGGGCGAGGAGGGGGTCAAGGGAGGGGGTGAAGGGAGGGGGAGAAGGATAAGGGAGAAGGGGATGGGTGTGCGCGGACTTTCTTTGCTTCAGCTGCTACAGCTTCACATTTCTGTTGTTTTAAATCGTCGTCCTCCTCCTCACAAAAATACCCGGATTGCATTTCTGTTCTGCCTCACCGTCAGCTCCCAACCCAAGCCACTTGCCAAGCCATTCCGTGCCTCCCCTTCATCCGTCCCTTCACCCCCTTCCCCTCCCCTCCTCCCACCCGTGTCCTCCGCTGTCTGTCAACAGATGGACGACCGTGGCAAGCCTGGTGCCCCTGGCGCGCCTGGTGCTCGCCCGGGTGCCCCCGGTGCCCCTGGTGCTGCTGCAGCTGCGCCCAGAACCTGAACAGAATGACCTGGAAAGATTCTCTAGATGAAAGAGGAAGCATGTCTGTTGCTGCAAGCCTTGCTGTTGTCCTTGTTGCACTGGCTGGGCTGATTATTGATTTACTTGGATGAAGCACTCTCCGTCTAGTGCAGTGGGTGAAGATATGTCGATCCTGGGTGATGACTGGAAATGGGTAAAGTGAGGTAACGAAGTGCTGTGTAGGGCACCAGAAGCGCAGGCGAGGAAAAGGAATTGATTTGAATACCAGCGTACTTGCATACACATTTGCTCTTTTGGAAAAGAGCCCGGTGGCTAGGGTACAAACACTCGCACTAACCTAGTGTAGTCGCTTGACTTTCATTCAGATTATACCGAACATGCGGCCTTGCATGACAAGAATCTGTGCATCCTACCATTGATCCGCTTTGTCCTGTGTCACTGAGGTTCACGATCAAGAGTCGTGATTCTAGTCAACTTCTAGGTAGGCTTTTCGCTTCGCGACGATAATCACGCTGCGTTTCACGTGTGATATCTAGCATTTGAAGCCAGCTTACGGAGATCCCGTCTCCGCCGCCGGCGGTGTCGTTGCGCATCCTCCTGCTCGTTCCCCGCTCCCGTACTTGCTGTTTCCCCCCGCTGCCTTATCGCGGAGGGACCAGCATGGCGCAAAGCGCGACGCTCGCGCGCGTGGCACTTTCTCCCGCCGCGCAATCGCCGCTGCCGGGGCCCGCGGGGCTTCCGTCAGCTGCAGCTCCATACTCCGATCTTCACACCGCAGTCTCCGCCGTGTTCGGCGGGCCATCGCCGATCCCACTACCTTCTGCCGCCGACGGCGCGTCGCCGTCGCCGTCGCTTCCGTACCGGCTCGTCGCGAGTGACAGTAACGAGGGGTTGCTGTACTGCTGGCGGCCCGGCGGCGAAGCGCTGACGGTCGTGGGATGCGGTGCGCGCGCGGCGAGCGGCGCTTACGCGGATGCGGACGCAGCGGCGGATCCGGCCGCGGGCGCGTGTGACGTGAGTGCGGTGCGCTAGTGGCGGCGCCGCGCGTATGATGGCTTGTTGGGGTGTGCCGGATGGAGGGCTGTGTGGTTTCCTGTGCGTTTTGCTGCGTGGTTTAGCAGCGCAGTGAAACAGCGAGGCTGGGACCTAATCACCAAGGTTGACCTAATTGTTCCTCGTCCTCCCTCTACACCTAAGAGCGTACACACCGATTTCCAGACCCCACCTTCCTAACCTCCTCCCCCTTGCTCCCTTCCGCCTTCTCCCATTCCCCATTTCCCCTTCCTCCCCGCCGCCCTCCCGTTCCCTCCCGTTCCCCCGTTCCCCCTTCTTCCTCTCCCGTTCCCCGCGCTCCCCCCAGTCAATCCGCGTGCCGCTCTCCCCCGCCCCGCGCGCCCCAGTGCGGCAGCTGCTGCTCTCCCCGTCCGGGCGCTCCCTCGCGCTGCTCTCACCCTCCGCCCTCGCCGTTGCGGACGTCTCCTCCGCTGCTGCGCGCCTGCGCACACAGGCGGGCAAGGCGGGACTGGGGGGAGAAATTCGCGCTGATGATGCTGATGCTGTTCCATGGTGGGTGCTGGGTGCTGGGTGGTGGTGGGTGGTGGTTGTGGGTGGTGGTGGTGTGTGGTGGGTGGTGGGTGATGCACGATTGGGCATGGATAATGAGTTTTCAACCTTCTTATTTCCCCAATTCCCAATCATCAGTCTCCTTTACCACAATCCCCTCCCCTCCCTTCCCCTCCCCTCCCCTCCCCTCCCCTCGCCTCCCCTCGCCTCCCCCCCTCCCACACTAAACCTCCCCGTATCTCTCTCCCTCCCTCCCTCGCTTGCCCCGTGTCTCTCTCCCGTCATCCCCCTTCACATCACGTCCGTTCGTCCCACCTTCCTGCCCTGTTGCCCTCCTGCCCTCCTGCCCTTCTGCCCTCCTGCGCTCCTGCGCTGTTGCGCTGTTGCGCGGTTGCCATGCGCATGGCAGTGTGCGGGTGGCGGACTTCCAGGGGGAGGCGGTGCACGTGGTGCAGGCGGCATGGCACCCCCTCAGTGACGCGCACATCGCCCTCCTCACCTCCGACAACGTCTTCAGGTTCCCCCCTCCTCCCCTCCACCCCTCCACCCCTCCACCCCTCCACCCCTCCACCCCTCCACCCCTCCTCCCCTCCACCCCTCCACCCCTCCACCCCTCCACCCCTCCGCCCCTCCACCCCTCCACCCCTCCACCCCTCCACCTCCACCCCTCCACCCCTCCTCCCCTCCACCCCTCCACCCCTCCTCCCCTCCACCCCTCCACCCCTCCACCCCTCTCCCCTTCCACCTCTCCATCTCTCCACCCCTCCTCCCCTCCACCCCTCCACCCCTCCACCCTTCCACCTCTCCATCTCTCCACCCCTCCTCCCCTCCACCCCTCCACCCCTCCACCCCTCTCCCCTTCCACCTCTCCATCTCTCCACCCCTCCTCCCCTCCACCCCTCCACCCTTCCACCTCTCCATCTCTCCACCCCTCCTCCCCTCCACCCCTCCACCCCTCCACCCCTCTCCCCTTCCACCTCTCCATCTCTCCACCCCTCCTCCCCTCCACCCCTCCACCCCTCCACCCTTCTCCCCTTCCACCTCTCCATCTCTCCACCCCGCGCTCCCCATTTCGGGTCTCCCTGACTCCCACCCTTCCACCCCTGCTTCCCCTCTTCCAACCTTCCTTTCCTCCTTCCTTCCTGCCTTCATCCACCATGCCATGCACCATGCCATATACCATGGCCATTCGTCTCATACCCTCATGCAACCCCCATGCCTACCTGTCTGCCCGATTAACTACCTGCCGTGCTGCCCCGCCCTGCCAGGCTGTACGACATCTCAGCAGCCGCCCACTCTGCAGCCACCGCCCCACAGCAGCGCGCATCAGCCACGGCAGCAGTGGAGCAGGAGTACGTGCTGCAGCCCGCCACGTCAGCTGCCACGTCAGCTGGTGCAGCGGCAGGCGCAGGGAGTGCGGGGGCGGGGTCGCCCGGTGCGTGCGTGGGGTTTGCCTTTGGCGGTGACCACATCTGGGAGCGCTTCTCTGTGAGTCATTCACTCGCTTCCATGCACTGCTGCTGCGTGCTGCCATGGTGCCGGGATGCTGGGATGATGCGGTGGTGGGGTGGTGAGGTGGTGGGGTGGTGCGGTGGTGCGGTGGTGGGGTGGTGGGGTGGTGGGGTGGTGGGGTGGTGGGATGGTGGGGTGGTGGGGTGGTGGGGGAATGGCAGCAGTGGGTGGGGTGCGGACGATGTGGCATGGGTGGGGGGGATGGCAGCAGTGGAAGCAAGCCCCAGTGGCAGCTCCAAGCTATGGCCTCACACGTTCGTTTGAGGCACCTCAAAAGGCCCACATGTCTGGCCTCACACGTTCACAAATTGCCCAACCCCCCTCCCACACCTTTGGCCTACTCTCTTCCGTGTCCCCTCCCTCACATGTTTTGCATTTCTCTTGCCCTCTTGCCTTGCTCCTCAATTCCAATGCAGCATTCCCAAGCCATGCCCGCAATAGCTTCTCTCCCCACCAATGCACCCGCACCGCACCCATGCAACCCCCCCATGCCCTCCCCCCCATGCCCTCCCCCCCATGCCCTCCCCCCCATGCCCTCTTCCACATGCACCCACCCCCGTGCACCCCTTCCCATGAATGAACCCCTCTTTCCAATACACCCCTCTTCCAGGTCTTCTTCTGCTTTCAGGACGGATCCATATACGCGCTCTGCCCTCTGCTTCCCTTCAACTCGTAAGCGCACCCTCCACCTGCACCTCTCTGCCGCGCACTTGCAAGCACCAACCTCCTTTCTCCTCCTGCCACTCGGTATCATCTACCCTCCTTCCCTCTCGCCCTCTCGCCCTTCTATTGCACATGCCCTCCCCCAGTCCCTCCCTCCGTCCCCACCCTCCCGCTCCCTTTTTCCGTATCCTCAACACCTCTCTTATCAGGTGGGTGTATACCAAGGCATTTGCAAACGCAGACTGCTGATTGCTTCTACATCCATGTATCCCTCCCTCCATCCATCCCTCAATCCATCCCTCCTTCCATCCCTCAATCCATCCCTCGCTCCTTCCATCCCTCCCTCCCTCCCTCCTTCCATCCCTTCCCCCCCTCCCCTCCCATCCCACCCCCGCCCTCCCACTATCCTCAACACCTCTCTCACCAGGTGGGTGTATGCCAAGGGATTTACAGACTGCTAATTGCTGCTACCTCCTTCCATCCATCCGTCCCTCCCTTCCCTCCTCCCTCCCTCCTTCCATACCTGGCTCCCTCCCCTCCCACCCCCTCCCCCTTCTCTCCCTATCCGCCACACCTCTCTCACCAGGTGGGTGTCTGCGAAAGCCATTGCAGAGCTAAGGGCGGACGCGGACTGCTGCTCCCTCTCCGCCCCTGCGCGCACACACGCGCTCCTCGCCTCCTCCTGGCTCTCCCACTCCTTCCCACAACCCCGAACCCCTCCACACCGTGCACACTTGCAACACTCCTCCCCCTCCCCGGATGCCGCTGCTGGCTCTCGGCTGATGATGCTGGGGGCGGGGCAGGAGAGGGAGCATGCAGGGGAGGGTGGGGGTGAAGGACCTGGGCTCGTGAAATCTGCTCGCTACGCCATTGGGAGCTCATCACTTGTACTGCAGGTTGGTGGGGTGGGGTGTGCTCTTCATTTCTCGTGATTACTCTGCTCTGCCCTGCTCTGCTCTGCTATTCCGTTCCACCCTCCACCCCCACCCTCCACCCTCAACCTTTGCCCCTACCCTTCACCCCCACGCTCCACCCTCACCCTTTACCCGCACCCTCCACCCGCACCCTGCACTTCCACCCTGCACCCGCCATCCGCCTCTCCCACCTCTGACCCCTCTTGCTCTCCCGCCCCTCCCTCCCCTTGCCTCGCCTCCCTCAACCCCCCTCCGCCCCACCCACCAGGGCCCCTTTCCCACCATAACCGGAGACGACCCATCCCTCCTCCGCCTCTTCCCCCCCTCCATCTCCCCCGTCGCTCCCCTGCTGCGTGGCGCTAACAGTGGTGGGGCAGGACAGCGTGCTGCTGGTGGGGGAGAGGGGCGGGACACTGCCCGCGCGCCCTCCCTTCTCATGTCTTCCCAATCCTTCCCCACCACCCCTCCCCACCCTAACCCCTCTTCCACCCCCCCACTCACCAGGGCCCCTTCCCCACCATAACCGGAGACGATCCTTCCCTCTCCTCCCCCTCTTCCTCGCCCCGCCACCCCTCCACTTCCCCCTCCCCCTCCTCCGCCTCCCTCCCGCCGCCATCGCTGCCCTGCTGCGTGGCGTTAACAGTGGTGGGGCAGGACAGTGTGCTGCTGGTGGGGGAGAGGGGCGGCACAGTGCGCGTGCTGGTCATGGCGGACGAGGTGCACCCCATGTGGGACACTGCCCGCGCGCCCTCTCTTGTCTTCTCTTCCCGTCACGCCACGCTGCAATCGGTTGCCATGACCGCCCGCTCACAACCGCTGCCCGTGCCGTCCCCGGGTGCTGCTGGTGCTGCTGGTGCTGGTGATAGTGCAGGGGAGGGAGGGACAGACGGTGCTGTGGTGTGGGCGGGCCGTCCTCCCCCGCTGCTGCTCTTCGGCCGTGTCGACCTCTCACTGCCCTCTTCCCCACACCCCTCCGCATCCAAAGCACCTCCACCATCGTCCAAATCACACCCGTCCAAATCACGGCTCTCAGCAGCAGCAGCTGGAGGAGCAGGAGCAGGAGCAGGAGCAGGACAACGCTCATCGCCGTTGCATCTGCCGCGCATTGACCTGCATGTGGATGCGCGCGTGCCTGACTTTGTGCTGTGTGCGCATGCATGGGGCGTGGATGCCGTGCTGCTGCGCTGGCTGCCCTTCTCAGACCACCACGACGCTCTCTCCGCCCGCCACAAGGCCCTCCCCTCTGTTGAAGTCTACAGCATCTACTCTTCCTCTTCCTCCTCCTCCTCTTCTTCTTCCACCTCTGCCTCCTCGTTGTCGTCCTCTTCCCACTTCTCCTCTTCCCGTCCCTCCTCTTCTCTTCCCTCCTCCTCCGCCTCTTCGCCTCCTGCTGCTTCTCCTGCCACACCTGCTGCTGGTGTTCCCTGTATCGGCCTAGCAGTGCTATCACGCAGCAGTAGGGGGCACACCGGAGCAGCAGAGAGGGGCGGGGGTGGGGAGGAGCGAGTGGTGGTGACAGTGGACGCACGAGGGGGGTGTGCTGTGCTGAGAGTGCGGCGGCCGGGGATAGCCCTGGTGGAAGGAGTGGATGGAGCTGGGGAGGAGGAGGAGGAAGGCGAGGGGAGGAGTGTGGAGGAAGAGGAGGAGATGGCAGGGCGGGGAGTGAGTGAGAGGGTGCTGCGAGGTCCCACTACCTCTGCCTCGCAGGTGAGGAGTGGGTGGAAACGGTGGGGGGGGGGGAGGCGGGGGAGGGTCTTGTGTCCATGCGAGAGCTGGAAGAACAGTTAGAGGAGAGGAGGGAAATGTGCTCAGACAATGAGGGTGAGGGTGAGGGATGGTATGAGGGTGTGGATGGGGTGGGGCGGGGAGGGTGAGGGATTTTGTGTGAGTGCGCGCCGCTCGCTTGCACGCGTGCGCTCCCGCATTGCTTTCTTTTCATTTTTTTCTCTTTCATTCTTTCTTTCACTGCCACTGTCTTTTGAACTCCCTTCTCCTCTCTGTCCCCTCGTTCCCTTTGTGTACATCCTGTATCACTGTTTGCTTTGCCCATTCCCGATTAATGTGCATGCCTGCTTCATGGATGTGCATGGACGGACATGGGTTCACGCACGTGTGTACATGTGCATGTGCCGCATGTCACATGCATGTGCGTGGCATGGCATGACATGGGCGTGGAATGGCATGACATGGCATCACATGGCATGACATGACATCACATGACATCACATGGCATGGTATGGGGCACATACAGGTGCTACAGCAGGTGCCAGCAGCGGTGCGCAAGGCACAAGCATCATCCATGGAGGGAAAGGCCATGCTGCACTCGTGTGCCAAGGCGCTGCATGCATCTCATGTCGCCTACGCTCATGCCGTATGTGCTCGGTTGAGGCGCCTAAAAAACCGTCTCTGTTCGCTTCGCATTCCAGTTATCTCCTTCATTACGTCCCCCGACTCCCGACTACATTCCCTGGCACGATGCAATCACACGTACGGATCCTGTCTCTGCTTTCTGCATATCTCTCCCAGACACTCTCCCCCCCACACCCACATCTTCCCCTTCTCCATTCCCGTTTTCTCGAAACTCCATTTTGAGTCGGCAAAAAATTGCCCCCACTTTCGCCTTCCGCCCTTCTCCCCCCCTTTACAGGCGTATGTGGAGGTGCGGGCGCACGAGCAGTGGGTGCAGCAGCAGGTGGAGCAGCAGAGGGCGCGGGCAGAGCGGCTGCAGCGCATAGCAGAGGTGGAGGGGGACGTGTGTACGGGGCTGGCAGCACGCGTCCAGGAGCGCCTGCGCATCAACCAGCGCCTCATGCACCGCGTTGAGAAGGCCCGCGCCAGGGCTGGGTGGGGCCGGCACACGCTCTCTGTCGCTGAGCGCCAGCTCAAAGGGGAATTGGGTGAGTTGTGGGGGAGTTTGAGGGGAGGGGAGTTGTTGTCGGGCTGTTAAGTCACAGTTTAGGGTGGGGTGGGGTTCTGTTGCTCACTCCCCCCCCCCCCCCCCCCCCCCTCGCGCATGTGACATGTGGTTGGTCCATGTATCCTCCATGCCTCACTTACCGTAATCCTCCCACAGACTGATGATGCGCACGTGCACGTGCGCACACCTGCCTTTCTCCTCCGCCCGCCTCAGTGCTCCCTGCTCATTCTTTGCCCCGCCGATTCTTTGCTCATTTTCTTGAAGTCGCTCCTTGCACCTGGCACCTGTCATCCTCCATAATATCCATATCCGCCCATCCACCCATCGCCCCATCCACCCTTCCGCCCCTCCCCCACCCACCTCATCCCCCCGTATTCGTGTGCACTGCAGACGCGTTGCAGCATCACGAGCTGCCGCTGCTGCTAGACTCTGCCGCCCACCTGCAGTCGCGCTGGGAGCACATAGCTGAAGCGGACAGCAGCACCAGCAGCAGCACGAGCAGCGACAAGCAAAGCCCTGCTAAACCCGATCCGTACAGCAATGGCCGCGAACCCTCGGATGGAGCCACTGCTGCTGGTGCTGCTGCAACTGGCACCGCTGCTGTCCCTGGTACTGCTGCTGCTAAGGTTGCTGTGTCTCCGCAGCGGCGAGGCCTGGACGGGCATCAGGCAGTGAGGGTGCGGCGGGCGCTGGGGCAGCTGAGTGACACGGTGCAGCAGCTGGCGGACATGGTGCGGGAGGTGGATGCGGAGCTGCTTAGACTAGACATGCAAGGGCTGCACTGCAACGGTGGTGCCGTGTGATGGGAGCGGTGCTGTGCGGTTCTGTTTTTGAGGCGCCTCAAAAGTAGACGCTGGGGCAGCTGAGTGACATGGTGCAGCAGCTGGCGGACATGGTGCGGGAGGTGGATGCGGAGCTGCTTAGACTCGACATGCAAGGGCTGCACTGCACTGGTGGTGCTGTGTGATGGGAGCGGTGCTGTGCGGTTGGTTTTGGTGCGGAGTTGTTGTGTGATGTGAGGCTGCATGTAGTGCGGTTTTATGCGTCACACGGTGGCATGTGATTGTACTAGTCGAAATGCAATGACATAATACGGCACAGTGCGCTGTGTTGCTGCCTGCACACTGCAGAGGTGAGAAGCAGGCCTTGCGAACGGGTTCACTTGAAAATAAGTACCAGTAGTGGCAGTCAAACACGTCGCGTCATACCCGCCCACAGGTGCAGGAGCTGATGCTTCAAACGCGTTGGGATCCGCCATTGATACGTTGGACAAAGTTTGTATCTTCCTCCTGTATAAGAACTCAGTGATTTCTCACTGTTGGAATGACCTTCCATAATCCCTATGCTGATTTTGAGGGCTCCAGTGCCTGACAAGGCTAATACATTGACATGTCTCAAAACCAATATGAAGACCTGCCTGTGGTGCAGATGAAATACATATCCTGTGGTGCCACACATCCAATGCAAAATATCGTTTTTGTTTTTATTGGTTTCCGCTTGCGCCACAATCAGTGTTGGCTCGAAATCCACGACTTTTCCGGACCAACAAAGCTGGCACAGAGCACGAGCAGGACCGATGACGAAGCTGGAGCCAACTCACGGACAGATCGGCACGGTACAGTAGGCTTTGTGGGGGAAGATGAGAGGGAGGGGGAAGGGGGGGCGGGGAGGGGGAGATGTTGGGGGAAGGCGGGTGGGTGAGGATGAGCCAGCAGCACCCCCAACAATCAGCCTTCCCCGCCAAGGTGGCGGCGCAACCCCAACCACACCACTCCTTTCGGTCAATTTGAATTTTCAAATTGCCGCGGGAGTTTAATCTGTTTGCACTGAACTCGGAACCTAAACACGACCACGTGTTCCAATTTAGTACAGCACAAGTACTCTTGTTTGGTCCCTCGTCTTGGGTCCTCTGCCCCCATCTTGTGTCCCGTCCCATGTGCCGAGCACTGCTCCAACGCAATTCTGCTCAAATTCTGTGGCTCAGAAGTTTCCCTAACTCACCAGCGTTTTGTTAAAAGGAACCAACGTGTGCAAACACAAATACATCTCAACGTCTGAAAGTTGGCCATTTTGCTGTGTAAGCCTGGACGATATGATCCGAGGTGGCAAAGCGAAGTCCTGGTTCAGCTTTTGAAAACCCGAATTCTGTCTGAAATGTTACCAAAACCCGGATTCCCAACGGGTAAACTGAATCTGTGAATTTGATTGAATTCGAACGGGTAAATCCTGTCTGAAGTCTCCGAATATGGTTGGATTCGAACTTCATCAGGCTTGTTTCGACTAATCTGGGCTTCATGATGAGATGCACAGCAGTTCCTTGCATGGCGTTACAGCACACCCTGTCATAGCGTATGCTTGATTTCTTGCCAGACCCCCGTCTTGCTTTGCTAACACCAATGCAGGAAAGGTCAGGAGATGGTAGCATCCGTCCTCTTGAGCGACTAATCGAATCTAACCTTTTGGCAAAATCGCTGCTTTGTCGCCAGCGTAATCGTCGCAGTACCCGCGCCATGATAGGAGGTGACTTCGGAGGCTTAGGGTGTCGGCGCGAGCACAAGGCGGTGGCGGGATCAGGGCCTTGATTGCCGCCTTTCGCGGCTCGACTCGTCGTCCATGGCATCAGGTTATTGCCCTTCGCAGTCACCCTGCATTGCATCCACCACGCAAAACCATCACATCCGTTGCTCCCATCTGCCATTGTTCCCATCGCGAGCCAACGTTTACCGAAGCTCCCAAGTCCCTGCAGCTCTATCTAGTTAAATCCGGCGCCTTACTCAACGAGTCCTATTCCATGACGTAGGCCAGATGGTTTCCGCTGATCGAGAATTAGTACCTCTTGCGTCGCCACCGTTCACCTCCCGCCCTCGTCACAACCGGCGCTGGCGGCGCTCGTCGCGCGTCATGCATTTAGTAGCTTCATCAGCTCGCCGCGACGTCAAGCCTTTGAAATATCCATGTGCATTTCCGTCCTACGAAGCGTCTCGCTCGTCCCTCTCGTTCCCCTCGTCCCTCTTGTTCTGCTCATTCTATCCTTCTAATTCTCTCCGTGGTTTGGCCTGGCGTGCGCATCTACCCTCCCCGCCGCCCTGTCTGTTCCCCTTCACCCCGCCATCTTGCCATCCCGCCTGCCATCTGTCATCAACCTTCCCTTTTCCGCCCACTCTGACCGCACCCGCGCATGCCAGGTGGCGGCGGGGGCGGTGGCGGAAGCAGCGGCGGAAGCGGAAGCAACGGGTACATCTTAGCGTACGCGAAGCGCAGTTTGCACCGCGACTACATGGTGCGCGGGAAGGAGTTCGGGCGCGGGCGGTACGGCGTGGTGCGGCCGTGCGTGCACCGCAAGACGGGGCGCGTGCTGGCGTGCAAGTCCATCAGCAAGGCCAATCTCAAGGCACGACCTCCGCACGTCCTCCGCACGCCCTCCGCACGACCTCCGCACGCCCTCCGCGCAACCTCCGCACGACCTCCGCACGACCTCCGCACGCGCTCGCACACGCACATGCGCACGCGCACTCGCCGCCAGCACCCGCACCCGCACCCGCATCAGCACCAGCAACCACATTTCCAGACGTTGCAATTGAGCCAATCGTTCTGGTGGCATGGCTGGTAGTTTACGCAGCCGCACCACCTTCCCCCACCCCGCACAAACAGGCCCGCACCCTCCCTCACACCCTCCCCCGTACCTCCCTCCCCATCAGCGCACTCCCTCCCCGACCTTCTCCCCCATCCCCCATTGCACCCCCCCCGCTCTCCCTCTCCCGCGCTCTCCCGCTCCCCCGCTCCCGCGCGCGCGCAGGAGGAGCAGCAGGTGGAGGAGCTGCGCACGGAGATGGCGGTGATGCGCGCGGTGGTGGGGCACGCGCACATAGTGGAGGCGGAGGCGGTGTACGAGGACGACGAGCACGTGCACATGGTCATGGAGCTCTGCCATGGCGGGGACCTCTTTGACCTCCTCGCGCGCTCCGACCACCTCTCCGAGAGCGACGCGCGCCACATGTTCAGGTGCGCGCGTGGGGCGCGGTGCGGTGCTGGTGCGCAATGGAAGCTGCGCGCTGTGCGCTGGGTGCTGCTGGGTGCCGGGTGCTGGGTGCTGAGAATGTGGCGGGTACGCTCATATTGCAAGACGTGGAATGAGCAGCATGGCGTGTGGCGAGATGGGCCGCCTCCCCTGCCCTTCTCCTCCCCGCTGCCCCAACCCACTCCCACAACCTCCCTCTCCTCCCATCTCCCCACGCCAGGAAAATAGTGGACGCGGTGGGGTACTGCCACGGCAAGAGCATAGTGCACCGCGACCTCAAGCCCGAGAACATTCTTCTGGCCGACGCCACCGCGCTCAACCCCAAGCTCGCCGACTTTGGCCTCGCTGTGCACCTGCCCCCGGGCGCGCGCGCAGTGGGGCTGGCAGGGTCGTCGTTCTACATGGCGCCGGAGGTCGTGCAGGGCATGGCCTACTCTTTCCCCGCTGATGTCTGGAGCTTAGGAGTGCTGCTCTACATCATGCTCTCAGGTGGGCGGTGGTGTGACAAGGTGACTTGTGAGTCGACTCAGAAGGCGGGCAGTGGGGCTGGCAGGGTCGTCGTTCTACATGGCGCCGGAGGTTGATCAAGGCATGGCGTACTCCTTCCCTGCGGATGTGTGGAGCTTAGGAGTGCTGCTCTACATCATGCTCTCAGGTGGGTGAGCACTGTGTGGTCTCAGACTCTCAGGTGCGCTGTGACAAGGTGACTTGTTGAGAGTCGAGTCGACTCTAAAGGCGTGCAGTGGGGCTGGCGGGCGGGGTCGTCGTTCTACATGGCGCCGGTCCCGGAGGTCGTGCAGGGCATGGCCTACTCTTTCCCCGCTGATGTCTGGAGCCTCGGCGTGCTTCTCTACATCATGCTCTCAGGTGGGTGGGCGCTGGGACGCTCCCAGGTGGGCTGTGTCACTGTCCCTGTCCCTGCTCTGCTCCTAGCCTCAGCTGTCGCGCAATGCAAACTGGCTCAGCTGATGTCTGGTCTGGAGCCTCGGCGTGCTACTCTACATCATGCTCTCAGGTGGGCTGTCCTCTGCTCCCACCTCGCATCGCACCGCTCTAACGTTCCCTGCCCTCTCGCGCCATGCCCGCCCGCCCTCCCTCCTTGCACGCCTCTCCTCTGCCCAACCCCCCAATCCCCCCCCCCCCCGGTGCCCCCCCCTCTCGCCAGTCATCCCACCCTTCGTTTGAAACGTCTCAGCACTCTCCCCTGTCCACCCCCGCATTGCCCCCTTGCGCTTCCCCCCCGGCCAGGCATCCTGCCCTTCATTTCAGACGTCCCAAACCTCTCCGCTGCCCGCCCCCGCATTTCCCCCCTGTGCTGGCCAGGCATCCTACCCTTCTGGGGCGAGACGGTGGAGGAGACGTATGAGAGCGTGTGCCAAGGGTACCTGGACTGCACGTCACGGCAGTGGCAGCTCATCTCGCCCCTGTGCTGTCCTTCCCCCCCCTCTCCCCCCCAGGCATCCTGCCCTTCTGGGGCGAGACGGTGGAGGAGACGTATGAGAGCGTGTGTCAGGGGTACTTAGACTTCACCTCACGGCAGTGGCAGCTCATCTCGCCCGCAGCCAAGGATCTCATACAGCGCATGTGCTCGCTAGACCCCCAGCACCGCCCCTCCCTGCACCACGTCCTCTCCCACCGCTGGCTCGCTGTTGCTGCTGCTGTTTCGACTGCCGGTGGCGCTGCTTCGTCCTCCTCCTCCTCCTCCGCCTCCTTCTCCTCCTCCTCGCTCTCCCCTGCTCCCTGCAAGCTTGCTCTTGCCCGTGCCGGCTCTCTTTTCTCCCCTTCTGTCTCTGCCGCTGCTGCCGCTGCTGCTGCTGCTGCCCTTGCTGATTCTGCTGGTGATGGGGTTGACGCGGACGAAGCGGTGGGTGTAGCGGCGGTAGCAGCAGGCGCTGCTGCTACAGCCACAGCTGGTGCCGCTGATGCGGCTGCTGCTGCTGGTGGTGGTGGCGGTACCGGTGGTGCCGGTGGTGGTGCTGTTGGTGCGGGTTCGAGCGCAAGCAAGTATAGGAGAGCGCAGCCGCGGGGAGAGATGGCATTGAAAAGGCGGGTGCTGCCTCTACGATCCAAGAGCGGTATTGATAGTGCTCTCATGTCCGCTGCCTGGAGAGCGCCTGACAGGGTTGATATTGGTGGCGGTGCCGATGTGCGTGCAGAGGAAGGGAAGGCGGAGGATGGGGAGGAGGACGGGGAGGAGGGGGATGAAGGGGCGGAGGAAGGGGAGGACGCGGGGGGTGAGGGGGGGATGAGTGGGGATGGGGAAGGGCGTGGTAGGGGAAGGGATGGTGCGTGGGGTGGGGGGGCGGTAGAGGGTGAGGATGGGGGGGAGGATGATGGGATGGAAGATGCGGATGAGAGGACGGGTAGTGGGAGGAGGAGGAGGGTGGGCGGGAGGAGAGGAGCGGCAGGTGGAAGCAGAGCGGGGCGGGCGAGAGGGGTCAGTGGCAGCAGTGTTGGTTTAACTGCAGGAACAGCAGCTGCTGCTCACGTCTCCCCACGTGGAACCAGTTCTGCTGCTTCCTCTGCTTCTTCCTCTGCTGCCACGGCAGCGTTGAATGCGGGGCCGATGGAGGCTCGAGCAGGCAGTGCAGCAGTGTTGGCAGCAGAAGCGGAGGGCCTAGGCTGTGGCACGCCAAGGTCGGGGGGGCGATCAGGGAGAGGGGGACTGGGTGCTGTGGACATCGCTGGGGAAAGGGCTGGGGTAGACAGGGGTGGAAGGGAAACCAGGGGTGGGGATGCTGAGGCAAGCGAGGGCACAGGGGTGGCAGCAGCTGGTGCAGCTGATGGTGGTGGTGTTGGTGGGGTGTGGAGTCGGGGGGATGAGAGAAGCAGGGAGGCAGCAGGTGCTGATGCGCGGGGTGGCACTCGAGGCAGTGGCGGTGAGGAGAGACGAGGCAGTGCCAGCAGTGGTGCCTCTCCTGACCCTGCACCACCCAACGCATCAGCAACAGCAGCAACAGGGGGAGGCGGCTCACCACAGGACAGTACAGCAGCAGCAGCAGCAGCGGACGGAGAGCAGGACGAAGGCGGGTCCTCCTCCTCATCCTCGTCACAGCCGCGGCGGCGCCCCACGTACCAGCACATCAGCAGCATAGGCTCGTCCCGAGCAGGCAGGCGCGTGTGCGCGCCCGTGCAGCGGCCACGCACAGCAGAAACGAGGCCTGGAGGGGGAATGGGGGGAATGGGGGGAGTGGGGGGAGTGGGGGGAGTGGGGGGAGTGGGGGGAGTGGGGGGAGTGGGTAGGCGGGGAGGGAGCGCGCTTGCTAGTGGCATTGGAGCGTCGTATTTGGGGAGCTCTCCGCTCTCCCCCTGCTCTGTGCGCTCGCCTGGGCAGCCGGGCGGGGGTGCGGCTGCTAGGCTTGTTTCGCCACCGAGAAGACCGGTTTCGAGATATGCTGCTGGTGCTGGTTCTGCTGGTGGTACTGCTGCCTCTGCGTCTGCCTCTGCTTCTGTTGCTGGTGCGGGAGAGGCAGAGGGTTCAGGAGAGGGAGGCGAGGGGCTTGGGGAAGTGGGTGGTGGTGGGAGCAGAGAGGAAGGCAGGTACGGTGGGGCTGGTGACTTGGGGCAGAGGGAGAGAGACAGCGGGGCTGTGAGCTTGGAGGAGGGAAGAGGGCAGGGGCAGGGGCAGGGGCAGGGGCAGGGGCAGCAAAGGCATTCCAGTGAAAGGATAGCGATTGGCAAGGGGCAGCACACAGGAGGGGTGCATGCAGGGGGAACGCTTGGGGGGGGCGCGCATGGGGGGGTAACGCATGTGGGGGGAGCGCACAGGATGGAAGAGGAGCGTGTGGGTGGAAGAGGGGGGCGGATAGGGGGGGGAGGGCTGGCAGGTGGGGGGAGAGGGTATGTCGGGGGAGGGGGGACGCATACAGGAGGAGGGGAAAGGACAGGTCCGTCTGCTTTGATAAACCCTCTACGGAGGGCTAGTAGTGGGGTAGTCGGTGGGGTTAGTGGTGGGGTAAGTGGTGGGACGAGTGCAGGGGGTGGTGTGGTGCTTGGGGTATCCGGAGTTGGGGGAGGGAGAGGTGGCAAGGCAGGGGGGCGGATGGGTGGCAGGGGCAGAGGGATGGTAGGAGGAGGAGGAGGAGGGGTGGATGCGAGGGGTTTACAGGAACGAGAGAGGGTCGGAGAGGAAGGGCGGCTGGAAGAGAGACGGCACGGGATCGTGGAGAGTGGTGGTGCTGCTGCTGCTGCTGCTGCTGGTTACACCAGCAGCAGCAGCAGCAGTGTGGGCAGCGGTGCAATGAGCAGCACGGGTACCATTGCGGGACAGCGAAGCAGAGGGGGCCCTGCTTTGGGTACTGCAGCAGGGGCGGGTGGGCAGGGCAACCCTAGGGGCGGCATGGTGGAAGCAAGGCGAGCAGGTACAGGTGCTGGTGCTGCCGCCGGGGTAGGTGTTGGCACAGGGAGAGCAGCAGTTTTGTCCTGCTCAGGTGATGCTGGCGCTGCTGAAAGCGGTTCCTCTGCTGCTGCCACTGCTGCTGATGGTGCTGCCAGTGGGGGATTACGAAGTGGTGGCAGCAGCAGCAGTAGTGGAGAGGTGCTGGGTGGTGGCAGGGATGGGACGGCACGAGAGAGCAGCAGTGGCAGAGACATGTGCAGTAGGGGCACCAGCGGTAGCACCAGTAGCGGTCGCAGCAGCAGCAGCAGGGTTGGCAGCGGCAGCGGAAGCGGCAGTTTTAGCAGCAGTAGCGGCGGCGGCGGCAGCGGCGGCAGCAGCATAGCAGGACGAAACTCTTTAACAACAAATAGTGATGCTGCCACTGCTTCCGGTGCTACCGGTGCTGCCGGTGCTGCCGGTGCTGCTGGTGCTGCTGATGAGGGCGGTACTTCAATGTCTGACAGTGCTGGCGCGAACCTAGGTGAAGGTGTGTCGCGCTATCCTCCCTCCGGCGATCACCACAACTTCACAGATGGTGCTGGAGGAGTGGTGGGAAGAGGAGGACAAGGAGGGGCGGGAGGAGGCCAAGGAGGGGGGCAAGGGGTAGGGTGCCCCGCCTCACCCAAGCTCTTATCCCCTCGCCGTACCTTCCCCTCTCCTTCCTCCCATCAACACCAACACCATCACCAACACCAACAACAACAACACCAATACCAGCAGCAGCAGCAGCAGCAGCAGCAGCAGCAGCAGCAGCAGCAGCAGCAGCAGCAGCAGCAGCAGCAGCAGCAGCAGCAGCAGCAGCAGCAGCAGCAGCAGCAGCATCGCCAGCAGCTGACCTCAGAAACCCTGTCCTCCCCATGGGCTGCCTCTGCGCATCTCACACCAGTCACAGAGCAAGATACAGACTCAGCCGTCAGCGCCCAAATGAGCTCACAAACGAGTGCTCAAACGAGTGCCCAAGGGAGTGCCCAAGCAAGTGCGCAAGCAGCAGAGCTAGCAGCGGCGACAGCACGGCTTCAGAGGGCCAACCAGGCCAACCGCGGTGCTCCCTTCCGGCGCCAGAGCTCCGCTTCACCCAGGGACTCGCGCTGGGCTGTTGGGGTAGGGCTGGGCGGAGCAGCAGGCCCCGCGTCCAGGTTTGGGGCTAGGCTGAGCTGGGAGGGACCGAGTGAAGGGAAAGCGCGCGGGGTTGATAGTGGCTTTGGTGGCGGGGAAGGGGGAGCGGTCGGAGGGTGGATCGATGGGTTGAGTGGGTTTGGAAGAGGTGGGAATGAGGAGGCGAAGGGGAGATTGACGGGTAGGGGTGGTGGTGGTGGTGCTTCTGGTGGTGGTGCTGGTGGTGGGATGAGAGGCAGCGTAGGTGCTAGCAGAGCTGCTAATTCAAGTGCTGGCTTCACTGTACCCTTGGGAGCAGCAGCAGCAGCACTGAACGGTTTGCCTAATGCTGACTCAGACGGCGAACCTGAACACACGTACAGATCGCAAGCAGCCGCACCCGCACCCGCAGCCGCAGCCGCAGCCGCAGCCGCAGCTGGTGTATATGGAAGCTCCCCTCCCCCGCACTCCCCATCCCACCACTCCCCTTTCTCACCCCGCCACAGCCGGTCACGCTCATTTGAACTTGAAAATGCGCTCACGAGCCCTACCAACCTCACAAGCCCCACCAACCGCTCCAGTTTCACCAGTCCCACCAGTCCCACCAGTCGCACCCTCACCTCTGCCCTTTCCTCCGCCCTCTCCTCTGCCCCCCGCCCACCCTCGATACCCCGTCGCCTCTCCGCCTCCCAGGCTCGCCCGCGGGGAAAGCAGCAGGGAGGCAGTAGCGACGGCGCTCTTGCGGTGTGGGGGGGTGGGGAGAAGTGGGGCAGGGAGCGGCGAGGGGAGAGAGCAGAGGGGGCGGGAAGCGGGGAGGATGGGAGCATGGAGGAGGACCAAGGGGAATGAGAATGGGAGGTGAAGGGGTGGGAAGAAGGAGAGAGAGGGGGGGGAGTGGAGGGGGCATGTGCTGAGAAATGGGATCAAATTATGAGGCGTCTTGAACCCTTGATCATGGATGATTGAGGGGATGGTGTGATCGCATGCTATGTGTGTGCTTCCCATGACATAAGAAGCACCCGTGGTGTTGTGGGGGGTCCGTGTGAGTGTTGCTCCCCAGGATGGAAGATGGAGAGAAGAGGGATAAGAGGGTGAGGTGGGTGAAGAGGGAGAGGTGGGAGAAGAGGGGTGACTGACTGAAACACCCCGCAGTGTCATCAGTGCTGCAGCGATTGGAAAAGTTCATCTCTCACGCTCTCTCTCTCCCTCCCTCCCTTTCTCGGGCTTCATCCCTGGTGCATTGCGTGTTGAAATGGTTGCAACTTTCATGTCAAGTCGTCTTGCTCTGCTCCCAGCACACCCCGCCCGCCCCGTGCCGCACCGCTCCTCGTGTGTGTGCGTTAGGTGCGAGGAAATGTTGAAGATGCAACGTAACTGCTGCATGCTGTGCGGTGTGCTGGTAGTGATACGGCAGCACTAGGTTATTACCGTAGTACCCTGCAATACATAGCCGTCTGGTCTGGACAGCTGTCTGCCACGAACAGGCCTTAGTAAACCCTAGAGAGAGAGAGAGAGAGAGAGAGAGAGAGAGAGAGAGAGAGAGAGAGAGAGAGAGAGAGAGAGAGAGAGAGAGAGAGAGAGAGAGAGAGAGAGAGAGAGAGAGAGAGAGAGAGAGAGAGAGAGAGAGAGAGAGAGAGAGAGAGAGAGAGAGAGAGAGAGAGAGAGAGAGAGAGAGAGAGAGAGAGAGAGAGAGAGCTCAGAGCGCATACCAGTGTATGTCAGTGTGATGTGATCTGATTTGATTCTCATCAAAGAGCAGCAGTTACCCATACTAAAACAGGCTTCGATGTGCTTTTAGTAACCAGCGCATATGCTTCAGCACTGTTCCTGTCTCTGACTCCGTCTTGCTGCACAGATGCAGCATGCAGGCTCTCAGATAGGTTGTAATTGTAAGCCACATGTCGCTTGCTTCTCCGTTCCCACGCGGCTAGCCATACATCATATTTCATAAAAGGCACTCCCTAACAAAATACAGTACAGCACCCCTTGCCCACACAGCGCATCCATTGTTGAAAAACACACCCTACCCTACGTTGTACATTTTGGTACGGCCCATAGGAGAACCACACAGCATGGGTACGGTGCTACCACAAGCACGCCGAGAAGGCATGGATGGACACAACACCGAAACAACATTGGGCAGTACAGCAGCATCACATCACTGGATGAATGGATGGATATATGGATGGATGAATCTAATCTACGGATACACACCCCACAAACACCAGGTCAGGTGCCAGGTGCCAGGTGCCAGGTGCCAGGTGCCAGGTGGCAGGTCACCAGGTGGCTAGGTGACTAGGTGGGTTAGTCCCAGGAGAGGTCTTCCTTGGGAGGGCCGTCGAGCAGCTGGGTGCCGGGGCGGAAGGGCTTTTCAAGCACGCAGTTGAGGTACACGTGCTCGCCGTCCCTCTCCCCTGCGTCGTTCTTGGGCGAGTAGTTCCAGTAGCGCTTGCTGTAGCCCAGCAGCTCTATCAGCGCCACGTACGCCGGCATCTCCTCCTTGGGCGCGTAAAACATCTCCAGCCACAGCAGCCCGCCTGGTGGGGAGGGGCAGGGAAGAGTTTTGGGGGGAGGGAAAGGGGGGGGGGGGAGAGCAATGAGAGGAGGGAGAGGAGTGGGACGAATCCCGGGGGGGATGGAGGTGAGATGGAGAGAGGGAGAGGAGGGTTGTATTGGCAGCAGAGCACCAGGGAAGCGAGCAGCACAAGAGCAAGAGCAAGAGCAAGAGCAGGACAGACCTCCTCTTAGCACGCGGTCCCATTCGAAGAGCATCTCCTCGAACTCGAGCATGGGCAGGTACTTGACGCTGTTCACCGTGTGCACTATGTCCAACGTTGCATCGTACAGTGGCAACCGCGCCTGCGCACATGCGGGTTAGAGAGGGAACCGGTAGGGGTAGGGAGATGGGATGAGAGGCGTGCATGTGTGTTTGACCAGTTGCTGTTGTTCAGTTTGCCGTACGTGTGCCTTCATATATAGCGTGGCAAGCTGGGCATTGCAACATAACACACAAGTCAAGGCATTGAAACCTGACAGCAGCAGCTAACCCGCACGGCTGCACTCCAATCTCCTCACATCCACCAAGGAGGGGAGGAGCCACCATAGCCCTCCAAACCCCCACCATCCCCATAATCCCCACCTTTGCCGCAAGTGTTATTTGGGAATGAGCAGAAATCGCACGTGCACAGCACGGCGTGCACCTTGTGCAGCGAGTGCAGGGGGGATGGGGCCCCTCAATGCGATGGCCACACCGCAACTCCCCTCCTCCCCCCCTCCCCACCCCCTCCCCTCTCCCTGCGCCAAACCACATCCACAAAGATCCACACCCCATGCACAGCACAGCACAGCACAGCACAGCACAGCACAGCACAGCACAGCACAGCACAGCACAGCACAGCACAGCACAGCACAGCACACCACACCACACAGCCCGCACACCACACCACACCACACCACACCACACCACACCACACAGCCCGCACACCACACCACACCACACCACACCACACCACACCACACCACACAGCCCGCACACCACACCACACCACACCACACCACACCACACAGCCTGCACACCACACCACTGCACCTTGTGCGGCGAGTGCAGGGGGATGAGCCCTCTGAGCGCAATGGCCTCCATGTAGGGCAGGCCGCCCGTGCGATTGGCGGTGGTCTCCTCCCCAGTCGCCACTCTAAACACCACCAGGCCACACACCACCACACAACGCACACCCACCCACACCGCACACCACACGCCCACGCCCACGCCCACGGCAACCGGCCCGCACCTCCACAAAAGCCCCACACCCCACCCATCACCCCACCACACACCCCACGCACCTTGTGCGGCGAGTGCAGGGGGATGAGCCCTCTGAGCGCAATGGCCTCCATGTAGGGCAGGCCGCCCGTGCGATTGGCGGTGGTCTCCACGTTGTACGCCGTGGTCATCACCGTCACCCCGTACCGTGCCATGTGCGCCGCAAAGCTGCCCGTGCCGCCCCCCACGTCCAGCCCCAGCCTGGCAGCCGGGGGGAGAGAGATGGAGATGGGTTGAACAGGGGGGGAAGGGGGTTGGGGGGGGTGAGATGGAAATGGGGGCGGAAGAGGCGGTGAGGGGAGGAGGTGGGGAAGGGAGAGGGGGAGGGGGTGGTGGTGGCCGCCCGTGCGATTGGCGGTGGTCTCCACGTTGTACGCGGTGGTCATCACCGTCACACCATACCGCGCCATGTGCGCCGCAAAGCTGCCCGTGCCGCCCCCCACGTCCAGCCCCAGCTTGGACACGGGGAGGGGAGAGATGGAGATGGGGATGGGGCGGGAGATGGTTTGGGGGAGGGGGGGGCGTGGTTAGGGGGAAGAGATGGGGATGGGGGCGACGAGATGGGTTGAAGGGGAAGATACGGCTGAGGGGAGGAAGCGGGGAAGGTAGAGGGAGACGGAGGGGTTGTGGGTTGGGGCAGGGAGAGGAGGAAGAGAGGGGAGCAGAGGGAGAAAGGGGTGGAGAGATGTGAGCGACTTTGCATGGCAAGTGCTTGGGAGAAGGCTTGGCCTGATGGAAACAGGACCAGAAACACTACCACAGCAAAGCTCTCCAGGCGTCCTAGAAAAAATCATCCCTCCCTCCCTTCCTCCTTTCCCACTCCCCCCTCTCATCCACCCATTATCCTGCGCGCCTCCCTCCCACCTCACCTCCCTCCGTCCCTCATCCCACCCGAGGGTCCCGGGCTTCATGGCGATGACGGCGGCCATGGTGATGGAGCCGCGGAAGGGGGCCCCCAGAAGGACCCCAGGAGGACCCCAGAAGGACCCCAGGAGGACCCCAGAAGGACCCCAGGATACTCAACTGCATTTCACCCCCCCTTGCCTCTCCCCCCCTTCCCTCACCCCACCTGAGCGATCCGGGCTTCATGGCGATGACAGCGGCCATGGTGATGGAGCCACAGCAGACATCAGGACACCCACCTGGTTCACTCCCCTCTCCCCTCCTCCACAATCGCCCGTCCCTCCCGGCCTCACCCTCAACCCACCTGAGCGACCCGGGCTTCATGGCGATGACAGCGGCCATGGTGATGGATCCGCGGAAGACCTCAGAATACGTACCTGGTTTTCTTCCCACCTCCCTCCTCCCCCACCCACCCCAAACCCCGAGTGACCACCCAATCCTCACCCCACCCCACCCACCTGAGCGACCCGGGCTTCATGGCGATGACAGCGGCCATGGTGATGGAGCCGCGGAAGGGCGCCTTCCAGCGGTTGCTCTCGAGAGTCATGTTGAAGCAGTTGCGGCAGTCTCCCTCCACTCGCGAGTTCAGGCACCCAAACGACTTGCACTGGTGCAGGTCCCACCGCACGTTCGAGTCCATCAGTGCCCCCTGCGAGAACAGGGACTTGGGCCGCGCTATGGGCTGTGATGGGAGTGGGGGGGGTTGGGGAGGGGCGTGTGGGAGGTGGGGAATGGGGAGACGGGAGAGGGGAGAGGGGAGACGAGCCAGGGACCAGGGGAGGTGGAAGAGGGGCCAGAGAGGAAAAAGTTGGGAATGGTTAGAGGCTCAACCACTTGGGTGGCATTGCCACTCAACTCCCCAGCACTGGTGCAGGTCCCAGCGCACGATCGAGTCCATCCGTGAACCCTGGGAGAAGAACAACTTGGGCTGTGCTATGGGCTGCGTTGAGGGAGTGGGGAGAGTGGGTACCGGGGATTTGCAAAGGAAGGAGGAGAGCGGAGGAGAGCGGAGAAATACGTGGCGACAGAACAGATATTGCAGGCGCATCTCACAAACAGAAGAAAGAACACGAAGGAAGCTTACGATGGAATGGAAGCCAGGCCAATCTGCCAACATGCATGCATGCATGCAGTGCAATGCAATGCATGCAAGCATGCATCGATCGACCCATGCATGCGCTGTCACCGACGGCAACGCACCCAACCAAACTCACCCTAAACCCTGCAGAGAAATGCCTTGCATGTGTGCCCCGACCCGACCCAACTCACAAACCCTATACCCCACGAAGACCCAGAGCCAGCGCCAGCGCCAGACCCAGAGCCACGCATGCACGCACCTCCTGCACGGCGCGGGGCGTGATGGTGAAGCAGCGGCGGCGCGGCAGGGAGAAGCAGTCCTTGATGAACATGAGGCGCTGCACGAAGAACCAGTCGTGCGGACAGTCCGCCCGCACCGTGTAGTTGAGGTACCTCTTCATGTCCGCTATGCTCGCCCTGCACTCGTAGCCCTGTGGTTGTGGTTGTGGTTGTGGTTGTGGTTGTGGTGTGGGGCAATGAGAGAGTGAGTGTGAGGGCATGTTTGACCGGCAGCACGTCAGCACCAGCAGCGACACGGCCCGCACCGTGTAGTTGAGGTACCTCTTCATGTCCGCTATGCTCGCCCTGCACTCGTAGCCCTGGTGGCGGTTGTGGGGCAATGAGGGAGTGAATAAGAGCACGTTTTGACCAGCAACACGTCACCACCAGCAACGACACGGCGCGCAGTGTGTAGTTGAGGTACCTCCGCTTGTCCGCTATGCTCGCCCGGCACTCGTAGACCTGGTGGTGGTTGTGGGGCAGGGCACGTGGGTGTGCGTGGGTGCGTGCAGAAGTGGGTGGGCATGTGTGTGTGAAAGCGTGTGTGGTTGTGCGTGAGGTGCGGGAGCGTGAGAGTGCAAGCATGGGCAGTGCAAGTGTATGGGAAAGTGGACGGCTAATGGATGGCCAGCACAGCAATACTGTGTGCACTATTGTGTGACTGTATGAGACGTCTCAGATAGTGTGCCCAGTCAGCATTGATGACATCGCAGTTGCACACACGTGCACACGTGCACACGTGCACACACACACACACACACACACACACACACACACACACACACACACACACGCACGCATGCACGCACGCACGCACGCACACACACATACACACACACACACACACACACGCACACACATACACACAATCACCCGCAATCACATGTGCACGCGCACGCACACACACACACACACACAAAAGTCGCCACCCCCCATGACTCACATTCCATCTCGCCAGGGTCGTATTCTCCCCCTCCTTCACACCCCCCTCAACAGCCGCCAGCGCAGCGTCGTTCGTCACCACCGGAAACACTGCAGCCCCGCCCAACGTGCTGTTGCCGTCCGTGCCATTCCCAGAAGCCGCAGCCGCAGCGACAGAGGCGTTGATTGCTTGCGCCGTTGCAGCGGAGACAAGGTCAGCTAGGCCTGAGACGGAATTGACGTGTGTGCCGTTGATCAGCGCTTCTGGCACCACGGGGCATGTGTGACCCGCCACTACCATGCGCGCTCCCTCCACTGCCTGCTCATGTCATGGTGGGGGCGTGGAGAGAAAGGGACACAAAAGCGGAGACTTTAGAGGCGCCCCAAAAGACGGAGTTGACATGCGTGCCGTTGACGAGTGCTTCTGGCACGACGGGGCATGTGTGACCCGCCACGACCATGTGCGCCCCCTCCACTGCCTGCTCATGTCATGGTGGTGGCGCGGAGAGAAAGGGACACAAAAGCGGAGACTTTGAGGGGAGCGACTCAAAAGACAGTGTTCATGTGGGTGCTGTGCCGTTGATCAGTGCTTCTGGCACCACGGGGCATGTGTGACCCGCCACTACCATGCGCGCTCCCTCCACTGCCTGCTCATGTCATGGTGGGGGCGTGGGGAATGAGAGGTGACAAGGACACAGCAGGGGATGGGGAACGAGAGAGAGAAAGGGAGAGAGCATGAATGTGAGTGTGTGTTAGAGAGAAGGCTTCAAGAGAGGAAGGGTGAAAATGCGCGTTCGTTCATACACCCATGTTGCAAGCATGGCAGTGCTTTGCAAGGACAACACAGACGGGCTGCCAGGGGCGCAGCGCAGGGCTGGTTACGGTGCAGGGCTGGTTACGGTGCGGCAGGGATGGTGGGAGCGCAGGGGTGGTTGGTAGGTAGGTAGGAGCGGCGTGTGTGTGGCTGACTCACCGACTTGGGCACGAGGGCGTTGTCCCACACGGCGCGCTCCTTCTCTGCACTCTCCAGCCGCACCTTCTCCTGCCGCAGAATCGCCACCTCTATCTGTGCACCGCGACAGGGGGGGTGCGGAGGAAGGGGTGAAAAGGAGAACGAGGGTGAGAGTGGGTGGGGGTGGGAGGGGACAGGATGCATGTGTATGGAACTGGAAAAGTGTGAGTTCCTGCCTATTGGTCCTAGCTGTGTTCCCCTTGTCTATCTCGCTCTCCCTCCTCATCCACTCCACTCCATTACAGGCTGACGTACTGCCTCCCGCCGTGCATTTGCATCTCGCTCTCCCTCCCCATCAACGATCAGCGGAGCGGGAGCAGTGACCACCTATGCCGCAGTGCGATCACCAGCAGGTCAATGACACCACTCAGGTCAACGCAACACCACCACTCATGGTCTCTCTGTAAGACGCCTGAGAAATCCGCGGGAAGTGGGACAACTTGTGAGGCGATTCAAAAGAGGCGGCCGGGGGGGGGGGGGGGGGGGGGGGGGGGGGGGGGGGAGGGGGAGAGGGGGCTCACCCGCAAGTCGATGACTTCCTTTTTCAGCGCAGCAGCGCTCATGCCCTCCACGTCCTCAAATGGGGTCTCTGCATGGCGCGCACCCCACCGTGCGGACGGAGAGGACGGGGAGAACGGGGAAGGGGGAGAGGGGTGGGGGAGCAGAGCAGACAGGTACAGTACAGGAGAGTGAGTAAAGGGGAGCGGTGAAGTGTGTGTGGGGGGGAGGGGGGTGGAGGGTTTGGGAGGAGTGAAAAGGGGGGGTGGTGGTGGGGTGGGAGAGGGGCGAGGCGAGAGCCCATGGGGGTTTGGGAGGGTCTTAAAGGAATACGTTGGTTGGGATGGGAGGAGCTGGAGAGAGAGAGAGAGAGAGGCGCTGGCAAGGTGGCGAGGCGGGAACGAGCACAGATGGGAGCGGGCAAAGCGGAGGTGAGTTGACACACGAGTTGGAGTCGCAGGGAGGCAACACTGTAAAGAACCTGAGCGAAGCAGGGGAGGGACGCAGCGCTGGGGAACAGAGAGAGCAGTGGACACGACGAAACAGCGACGCCTTAGCAGCAAGAGGACGCTAAAGAGGCAGAACCAGAGCACGAGAGCAAATGAGCACAGGAGAAATCGGAGCTGAGAAACAACAAGGCAGCTGTTTGGTCCCCCTCCCATAACCCTTCCCCTCACCCCGTCCCCTCACCCCCTCCCCTCACCCCCTCCCCTCACCCCCTCCCCTCACGCCTCCCCTCACCGCTCACCCGCAGGCGCGATGGTGCCATTGGCGTGGGTGACAGTGCCCGTTCCCGTGAGTCGCGCCAGGCGTTCCTGGCACTTGCCTACGTCCGCCAGCCCGCCCGGATCCCGCCGCACGCGCTCCAGCTCTATGCGGCACAGCTGTAGCTCCGCCGCGTCGCGCACCAACCTGGCGGGAGGTGCGGATTGGATAGTGCGCGGGTTGGATAGGGCGGGCATTGGATAGGTCGGGCATTGGATAGGTCGGGCATTGGATAGGTCGGGCATGGGATAGGTTGGGCATGGGATAGGTCGGGCATTGGATAGTGCGGGCATGGGATAGGCTGGGCACTGGATAGGGCGGGCATTGGATAGGGCACGGAAACCACAGAACCCGGCATGTGAGGTGCGGGAGAAGGAGGGACGCGATCGGGCGCCAACGAGGTTATGACGTTGGGCTGGTGACGACTAATGCAGGAAATGTCAAGCTACTGCCTAGTTACGCGTCGAGTTAAAATTTAATGTCCAGTTTTGGAAGCGGATGACATACACTAGGACTCGATCGCAGGACCGGAAAAGACATGGATGTTTATGCTGGCGCGAGAAGGTGGAACGCTGTGGTAAAACGCTAACGATGCGACGACATGCGGCGACACGCGGCGAGAATAAGCAGTAATGGAGGCGACGCGCAGACGCACAGACGCGCAGACGCTGACGCGAGTGGTGGAAGCGGGAGCGGACACATCTTCACGGCGGGAATTTTCACCTCTCATGGCCCCACGGCAGGAGGACATTGGGCGCTTGTGACGTGGATTGAGAGAAGGAGTAGACAAGCATGAGAAACGCGAGCAACACCACTCCCACGAGCCCCTTGCCAATGTTGCTGGTGGGTAACTTTAACTGCTTTAGCTTCTCCCGGATAAAGCGCTGGTTTATCCCGTCAGAGAAGCGCGATGTCAGGAGGTTCATCCTCGTTCCCATGGCGGACCGCGCGAGGAGCGGAGAAAGAGGAACTTGATAATCTCGTTCTAGCGTTGTCGCGAAGTAAAACCACAAACTATTAAGGGAGTCCACTCATTGTTTTCTTCCGTAAAGAACCGTCGCAGCCAGTTTAGGGAACCGAAATAGCAACGGATCGGCGGGACAGTCGTTGGTACGAACCTAGCACGCAAATGGCGGAAGGACCGACAATGTTATCAGGCCAGGGAGGGAGTCTAGAAAACAAAGTTCACCCAACCAGACTTGCGAAGTTCGAATCATCGATTTGCTCCGCACAGCAGCAGCGCAACAACACGTGATGGGATATTATAGAAGGGATTTGGTTTGGCGGTGATTCTGGCGCATGTAGTAGCCCATCAGGTCCCCATTAAAACCCAGGGTCCACAGGTTTCAAAGGTAGGAAGGTTGGTTGGACTTAGTGACAAAACCAAAGGTAGGAAGCTTGGTTGGACTTTGTGACCCAACCAAAAGTAGGAAGGATGAGGCAACTTCGGGATACTTGAGACTCCGGTTTTAATTTTCAAAGAGCTTTACAGCAGAAACGAGTAGGGGGGCATCTTGAGGTGACTGCTATCAGACCTGCGAGGTAGGTGACTGAGCAAATATAAGATTGCACTTGAGGACGTAAACCGGGCCGTTTAGTGTAATTCAGTAACAAATTGTGCAGTGACCAGCTCACCGGGACTACACTCGGGGCGGGGAGTACAGTGACCCTTGAAAATGTCGACGTACAAATTGGCTGGCATGCACGAAAAATTCTGAAAACGAACTGATGAATCCTAGCCGTTCACGAGTGGGGAGTGAAGTGCTCCCCCATAAAGCTGAACTGAGTCTAGGAGGGGAGTCCCGGCTAGAGGGCGAGCCCTGACCACACGTTGAAGTCGTTGAGGCTGACTGTGTCTATCTGTACTGTGCTTATCGTTCTCTGATAAGGGCTGGCGCGTTGACAAGGCTCGGGCGGGCGGGATGGGAGTGATGCTGACCACGAATGCTAAGCTCTGGTGCTGGACGAGTCACACAAGGCTAGTTTTCCGGGATGTAAAACCCGATTTAGACTTCACACTTAACGAAATGTTGCCTTTACGACCATGACATGGCTTGATCCGAGTGGCGATCACCCCTACAATTGCAGTTATAAGCGTGCTTGCACCACTCCTAATCCGAGCTCGTTCCGAGCTATACCTCCTCTGCTTTATCAAGTATCGGACTCTTTATTCTGGTCAGGAATTTGACTGATTGACTGGGGTGTCTGCCAAGTCTTTGACAACAAAACACGATGAGAGTGACGATTGCGAAACCACTTCTTGGCAGGACCTGAGACAACTCACTAACTACTTGACAGTTGTATATAAGAATATATTTGAGGTATAAACAGACTAATAAATGTATAGAACCTGAAGCCCTCTGAATCTGAAGCATCCTTTTTTCCATATGACCAATTGTATTATAGATTTTAACAATACCCGCACATGCATAACCTGAGCTCCCACTGCTGAATGTGAGGCATCCGCTACTCCCTGTGATAGAATATATAACAAGCATTCCTATATTCGATGGACCAAGAATTGGAGTTAGCAATGCAGGACTCCAACCAGCACGATGGACCAAGAATTGGAGTTAGCAATGCAGGACTCCAACCAGCAAATTAAACAAACCAATGGTGCTGTTGTTGTATCATATCGTCATGTTTCTATCATGATGAGCAGAACCAGCAGGCATTGGTATATCTTATCATGGAACAAACGGAGGAGCACCATAACCAAACCATCATATTCCACACGTAAGGCGTGTTATAGTCTGTAGGTTTATGGGTTGCTCCGGGCGGCAGATTTTTGAGGAATGGACAGCACCCAGGCGATTCGAGAAGAATGTTGCTGTGGTGGAATATCCAGACTGGGATATAACAAACATATCAGAAGATGCCAAAAGGAGCCAATCTGTAAGAACGTCGGTATATATTGCTGCTTCTTTATCGCGAGCAGCTTGTGGTGAAGGGGGTGGAGACGAGGGAGCAGCATCATTGAGCAGGAGGTTGTTGATATGCATTGGCAGGATGTCTGACACCACCACCTGTGACGCAACGCAACCAAGTAGGGATGATGATATTGGCGTGCCGAGGCACCAGTGTGGGAGAGAGGGGCTGAGGGAATTGAGAGAGGGGTGCAAAAGATGCTGTGCGTCTGTGAAAGGGGGGTGGAGGGGAGTTTGGAGGTTGCGTGAATGAGAGTGTGTGTGCATGTATGTGCGTGTGTGGGGGTGCATTACAAGCATTGAGAGCCAATGTGACAGCGGGCACGATAGACTGCACAGGCTGCTAATGCATGCACACTGCACAGTGTGGCGCATGTGACGGCGGGCAGACCCTTGCATCGCCTCAAGGAGAAAGCACACACCTTGTCCGGATATTTGAGCCTTAAACCTGTCTTGAGATCCTGAGAGTTGCTAACGACTAGCCATTTAACAATGATGGGAGGGGGCATCCACCATGCCTCGAGTTTCTACAACGGAAATGGGGCATGGGAGGGGCTCGGAGAGCAGAGGCCAGGAGTTGAGAATGGAGGCATGAGGAACAAAGGGGCACGGGAAAAGAAGGGGCATGGAGAAAGCAAGGACACAAATATTGCGGGAAAAAGAAAGGGGGGGCGGGAAGGGGGGGGGGGGGGGGGGAGGTTAGAAGATGCAGTCATCTTAATAACCCAACGACCCAGAAATTATCGTGAAACACAAAACTATCATAATGCCCAAACCCACTGTCGACTATCCAGCCTCGACTATATCTAAACTGCAACTCCCCACAAAATCTCCCCACTAGAACTCCCACATTTCCCTATCCGCACCGCACATTCACCTGGGCACAAGCAATGTAGTCGTCAGCCCATGCCATGAGCTCAGCCTTCTCCGTCTCATTCAGAACCTTGGGATCTCCAAACCCTCTCTTGCCCGCCCACACGAAACTGTCCGCCACTCTCACGTGAATCCCAATAACCACCGCTCTATTGTGCCAGGACCCGGAGGCCCCTGATTGGCCAGCGCTCAGGGAATGTGGGGCTTGGAGGAGGGCGGTGGGAGGGGAGGAGGAGGCAAGAGGGGAGAAGAGGTGGTGGTACATGGCCTCAGCTTTTGACATAATCTCCGGCCGTGGCCTGGTGGTGGTAGAGGAGGGGATGGGGGGTGGGGGTAGGGGGGGTAGGGAAAGGAGGACGGGGGGAGTGAGGGGAGGAGGGGGCTTGGTTGAGGGGCAAGGGAGAGGGGATATAGTAGAGTGGAATGGACACATGATAGAGGGGCAAATTGATAGAGTGTTTCTTGGTGTGGACAGTAATGTGGCATCTGGTTGCGGGCCAAGAAGGGGGCCGGGCAGGGAAGGGTATGCCGGGCCCAGTTGAGATGAGAGACGCGAGGCTCAAGGGCCCGGAATGGGGACAGGCATGCGAGGCAGGGGTATGAGTTGCCTCGACACCTCGGAACGGAGGTGGTATATGGCTTAAAAGAATGGTGAAATCAGCACCCTTTGAGGGGGAATACGGAGTACGGTGAAAGTGAGGCGGACATCGAATGGTGTCTCTTATGACATTCCATGCACATCTCAAAAATCTCAAATGCATGTCATGGCGTGTATCCATCCATGGGAACGCACTTGAAAAGAAAGACAAGAAAACGCAGCCTTTTCAGGCGCATCAAAAGTGTTGCCAAGTGGGGACGTACTTGAGAAGATAGCGGAGGATGCAGCCAAAGCTGTAGGGAGGGCGCATGCCCATGTCCTTGAGCCGCTCGCTCCACTTCTTGCCCTCCGCCTGTAGTAGTACCCACCCACCCAAGTGTTACGTGAACGGCACATGAGAGCATGGCAAGAGCGAGTGTGCTACTTTGAGCTCGTGCTCATTCGAGTAAGTTCGCATCCCCATACCTTTCAGGTGAACAGCTCTCATGTTGTTGTGCTACTTCTCCCGTACCTTTCTTTCCCTATCTACTCCAATTGACATCCTCTTTTTCTGCTCATTCTATCCATTGCTGATTGTTGTTCTCTCTCCATCTCCTCACTTCTCCTCTTCCTCTCCTGTGGTATTAGCAGAAGTTCAAGCAGGGCGGCTCGGCTCATCGGCTCGGCTCGTTAACTCGGCGGGCAAGCAAAGCCGGAGATTTCCGATTTCCAGCTCGGACGACTCGAGCGGGTGGCCGACTAGTTGCGCGAGTCGACTAAAAAATAGACTAGTCAAGCAGGCCGACGGCTCACCTTCACTTGCACCTATCTTGTAACGAAACCATCACATCACATCACGTGACGAGCTGGCTCGTCTCGGCTCATCGACCAGCATAGGCCGGCTCGTCGCAGCCTTGCCCAGCTGGCCTCTCAATGTGACGACCCACGAGCTGCAGGCTAATCTGCCGGCTAACCACGTTGACCTCCCTGCTCGTTGCGGCTCGGTAAGAGCCTGCTCGGGGCGGTCCTATGCTCTCATGCCCCTCCAATCCCCTTCCTTTCGCCTTCCTCGACTCTATTCCACGTTTGAGAGGAAAAAAAAAAAGAGTTCCTTGCTGTTTCAGCAGAACCGTTTTACCCACCTGCACGAGCCAATAAATAAGCAGCCCTCTGTTCCACGACACGCGCACGTTCATTGCCTTATCCAGCTGCCCGAAAAAATCCTCCGGCTCGACCAACTTATTCTTCAAATCTAGCACCACCACCTCCCCATCCTGCACTACCTCCACTCGCCCTCCACCCCCTCCTCCTCCTACCCCTCCTCCTCCACCTTCTCCTCCTCCTCCTCCCTCACTCCATCCCTGCATCACCTCCTCAATGGACATCTTCCGAGCCGGCTCCATAGGAACCTCTGGCGAGAAGGACCAATCAACGAGGTTCGGCTCGAATGCAAGCGGCAGGAGAGAGTGCTTCACTATGAAGGCCCGGTTTGTGAGCATGGCGCATACAAAGGTGGTAGCCAGACCTGTGAGAAAGTCCCCTAGCCCACCTGGTTGATCCAACCACTCGTATGTGAGAAATCGAATGGATGGGTTCCTGGGCGGCTGGGGGTACTCGGCTGGGGGTGGGGGGGATGGTGGGGGCGGGGGTGGATGAGGGGGGGATGGAGGAGGTGGGGATGGTGGAGGGGGGGATGGAGGAGGCGGGGAGGGAGGTGGGGGGGATGGAGGAGCGGGAGGTAGGGGAGGAAGAGAGGAGAGTAGGGGTTGTGGTGGTGGTGGTGGTGATGGTGGTGGGGGTGAGGGTGGTGGGGGTGAGGGTGGTGGAGGTGACGGTGGTGGGGGTGAGGGTGGTGGCAGCGGCGGCGATGGTGGTGCTTTCGCTGCAGCAGCAGCAACAGCAGCAGCAGCAGTCTGAGCCAGGGTGCTGGCGTGGGCGCGGGCAGCTTCGCGAATGCGGGAGTGCAGGGCGGAATATTCATCCGCCCAGGTGCCACAATGTGCCTCTGTGAACGTGAAATCCAGAAACGGCCTGGGAGGGGACGCTGATGCGCGCATCGGGGAAAGGAGCTGCTCCAGGGGGGAAACAGAGGGAGGAGGAGGGGAGGGGTGGGACGGAAGAAGTGGAGAAGGAAAGGGGGTGGAACGGAATGCTTTGACTGGGGTTCGCAAATGAGAGGATGGGAGTGAGCATGGGTGGGTGGGAGTGAGCATGGGTGGGTGGGAGTGAGCATGGGTTTTGTGGGAGTGAGCATGGGTTTTGTGGGAGTGAGCATGGGTGGGAATGAGCATGGGTGGGTGGGAGTGAGCATGGGTAGGAGTGAGCATGGGTGGGTGGGAGTGAGCTTGGTGGGTGGGAGTGAGCATGGGTTTTGTGGGAGTGAGCATGGGTTTTGTGGGAGTGAGCATGGGTGGGAATGAGCATGGGTGGGTGGGAGTGAGCATGGGTAGGAGTGAGCATGGGTGGGTGGGAGTGAGCTTGGTGGGTGGGAGTGAGCATGGGTTTTGTGGGAGTGAGCATGGGTTTTGTGGGAGTGAGCATGGGTGGGAATGAGCATGGGTGGGTGGGAGTGAGCATGGGTAGGAGTGAGCATGGGTGGGAGGGAGTGAGCACGAGGTGGCTGAGCCACGAGAGCTCTGCGGCTCGTCGGCTCGTCGACTCTCCGACTAATTTGAATTCGACGATTCGTAACAAACCACCACCATCTCAAAACTCACAACCCAGGGGGGAGATTGCCTTGAGGGTTCGGTTCGGAGCCTGTTGTATATCGCACGTGTACTAGAGTTCACACCTCGAAAGGCGGTGTGCACTCACCACTAGTAAGACGGTGACGGCGAGCATGACCACGTGGTGCTGGCTACTTCCGAGTCGCCTTGATATCATCGACTTGATGTCATACGTCTCGGAGAAGTCACTCGCCGCAAGGGCACCTGAACGCTGATTGGCTCGCATTCCGAGTGAGAATTCCTAAGACTTGTGACGTGACGTCCGCTTTTCCACCGCTACCGCGATGCGCTACAATTCCAGCGTCTTCAAGCATGCCATGCGGCGCCTATATGTGACGACGACTCCTGGAGAGGTATAATGCAGGTGCGCCTCCGCAAACTATCATTTTGCTCCGAAGTGAGTCCATGTGCTGTCGGGTTGGGTGTCAGGCTGAGCATGCCAGCCACGCCGGAATGTGAGGGAGGTTCGAGCATATGATCAAATGGCCTGCAAGTGCTGTCCACTGACGTACTCGGTGTGGGACGCACCGATTGCCGCCATGGAAAAGCACAGAACCATGAGCATAGATGTAAGTACGCATAGAGAACACACATTCGCGTACATAACGCATAAAATCTCCTAAAATCGAAACGGATACATATCCACGAATATGTACACATACAACAGTGGGCTGTTATACAGATGCATAAGCTGAACGCTGAGCTCACCATACCAATTTTAGGACCGAAAAGTAGGATGTTTCGTACGAGCTCGGCCGTCAAAATTAGTATATTTTGACACCTTGGTGCAATCCTCGTTTCGACCGTTTCATCAAGCTATCACTCACCGTACCGTATATCATGGTACACCCGAATGCGGAATACTCAATATCTCTGGATAAATGTGGCTACCAGTCCCCCATGTTGACTGTAAAAAAACCGGCGAGCAACCGCCCGTTCGTGCCGCGCAGTTCGTTAATCAGTCGGCTCCAGTTAGACCCGAGCGCACCCACGAAGTAATCGCACTGCGACGCAATAATAGCGCTCGCGAAACTAGCTGTGACTGACTGCTTGAACTCATACTCGCGGTTAGACCTGGAATCCTCCTGCTGGCGCGAGTTGGAGGAGTAGAGGAACCTCCAATCAGTGTACAAGGCTGATTCCTTCACCACAGACTGTAAGACAGGTGGGAGAGAAGGTAGGGAAGAAGGTACATGGGAGGAAAAGCAGGACAAGGGGTGGATCGCGAGTGAGGGAAGGTGAGCGATGCGAAGCCATTGTCAAACGATAGAGGTGGAATACGGCGTGGGCAAGGCAAGCATTTGTTGGCCCACGCACCGCCATCTCTGTATTGAGCCACACGTATCGCAGGTCCGGCGAGAAGCGCCGCAGCCGATGCACAAGGAACATGTGCGTGGCGAACGACGACAGGCGCATCTCAGTTCCCTTGTCGCTCTGCCGCACGTGCACACTCACGATCGGCCGCATCACAAACGGCTCCCCTCCCACCGATGCGTAACTATCCTTAATTGCCTTGGCATCCGCCGCACTCATGCACGTCTCATTACACCCCTTGAACCCCCGGACAGACCACATTTGCGTCTCGATGGGCCCCGGAGGGCCAGTGGAGATCCCGACAAGCTTCTTGGATTCGTCTGTCTCGGATACATTGCCCGCGACGGCCCGTATGATCTCGGCCTGTGTTTCAAGGTAGCGCGAGAGGTACGAGGCGGTGTGGAGGCCGTAGGCCATGTGGCGCTCCTTGTTGGTCTCGTGGCACATGTGCGGCGAGGGCCAGCGCATCATGAAGCGCGACGCTTGGGATCGCCACCAGTTCACCTGCCAGACGAACGAGGAATGCGGGCGAGGGGGGAGGGGTACGGGGAGGGAGAGAGAGAGGGGAGGGAAGGGGAGAGGGAGGGTGGGGGAAGGGAGGGAGAGGGAGGCCGGAAGAGAGAGGTTACGGGGCAGGAGGTGGTCTAGCTGGGCGTTCACCATGTGGATGATATGATATGATTTGTTAACCCTGCGTACCGACCAGCTGATTGTGTACGATGCTGATTCATTTGTACACCCGCACCCACGAGCAAGCGCACACACACACACGCACCATGAGGTATATATTGTTAACATATGGCCGCTCCCCCATGTGATCCAGCACATTCGGAGCCCTCAGGTACGCATCGCCCCATAGCCTGGGGAAGTGGGGGGCGGGGGTGGGGCTTTGAGCTTGGGAAGCAAATAGGAACATGGAGGAGGGGAGGGGAGAGGGGTGTGAGGGAGTGCAGGAGTACGAGAGTGCTGGAGAGAGGGAGAGGGGGAGAGTGGGAGAGGAGGAGGGAGGGAGAGTGAGTGGCAGAGGTAAGGAGCGGGAGACCCTGGGAAGAGGGAGAGGGCGGGAGAGGTGCGAGGGAAAAGAGGACGCGAATGTATATCCTCCTGACACTTGGGGCCCCACACACATCTCCTCACCCCCTTCACCTTGCCACAACCCTAAATCATTACCCCGGACCCCATAACCATCTCAATGGCAACCTTCAGCAATGCACCCACCCACCCCACATTCCCTGCACCCTTCACACCCCACACCCTTCCCCCCTTCCCCTTCCCCCCTTTCCCTTCGCCCCTTCCCCTTACCCCATTCCCCTTCCCCCCTTCCCCTTACCCCCTTCCCCGTCCCCTAGGACTCACTTGGAAGCGCCAGACTCGTAGGTCATCTGCCGGTCAGCGCTGGAGTCAAGGTAAACAACCAGGTCGGCCGAGGCAGCGAGGCTATTGTGGCCCTTGGGGTCCGAGGACATGGCCGGCATGGTGCTCTTGGCGATCATATCCGTCACTACGCGCTCACAGTCGGGATTCACTATTGGGAAGAAGTAACAATTCCACGACCCGCCCGTCCTCGTGGCTGGGAATGGAGAGGGGAGGGTGTGGGGGGACGCGTGGGGGTGGTGGCCCGTGGGTAGGGAACGGGGAGTGGGGGTGGGAAAAGGAAGCGGTTGAGCATGGTGCCGACGTGTAAGACCCACTCGGTGTGGAATGGGCGTTGGGGGAGGAGTTGGTTAACAATGCGGTGTTGGAAAACCAGATCCACATATCATACATACACACAGAAACGCATAGTAAAGGCACAGAGACACATCGACGCAAATAGAAACGCGCACATGCTCATAGAAACGCGTAGATCCAAACGGATACACAGAAGCACGCACACATATCCACAGAAATGGAGGTTGTACCATAACCCTCCGGACAAAACCCGGGACTCTTATTTTACACGTGAAGCTTTTCGAACACTCAGGTGTCATGAGAGATGGGTTATCGTGAGAGATAGGTTATATTATTGTGAGAGATGGTCGCGTCGAAGTTATCGTCAGGTGTCGCGCCTGCCGCCTTGAACGCGTCGGAATTCAAGATTCAACCATTACCTACAATCTATTGCGCCCGAGCGTAATTGTTGCTCAAAATAGGAATCTCGAGCAGAAGGGGGGTCTTACGGCATAATATTCAGTTACAAAACAAGGGTCCTAACATATACCTGCCAACATAAAACACCTATTCCGGATAAAAGACCTGGGGTCTCTTATACGGGGTGGGGTTGGGGGGGGGTGGGGGGGTCCTGTATGCAGGAGATTACGGTAGGTCCTCACTAAGGCAGGCTTAGCATAAGCTGGGCGTAGAGCTCACCATTGCATGTCTCGGAGTGGGCGCGGTCGTACGATTCAGGCGTGGGCACGAGTGTGCGGTTGTGGATCAAGGCCAGGCTCAGGAAAGTGCTCATCAAGTGAATCTGATGGTGCCAGTGGGTGGGTGGGTGCAAGGGAGGGAGGGAAACGGGAGAGAGGACGTCAGGGAAGGAGAACGAACCGGAGGGAGGGACGGAGGGAGGGAGAGAGAGAGGGAGGAAGGGAAACCAACTGACCAGGAAGCCACTTCCACCCACCTCTTGAGCACCCCGACTCTCGTTTGCAAGCCCCTCAATACCAGCAGCCAAACTCACTCTTCTTTCCGACTCTCACTGTCCAATCCAACCCGGAAGGCACGCCCTGCCGTGCCAGACAGGGAGCCATCCCTCCCGACCCCACCTGTGAGCCCATGCCGTGGCTGGACCCTTTGGGCCACGGCACGACGAGCAGCCGCTTGCCGTCGCAGCGACCGGGGAACAGCTGGTGATTCCACAGATCCCGCTGCGCCACGCGCGTCAGCGGTAGGTTGTCCGCGTCGGATCCGCGCACCTGGGGGTTGGGAGGGGGTGGGCAGGGGATGGTGATGGGTACTGTTTGGAGATAAAAAATCCTATTTGTCTTCCTTACACCCACCTCCCCTGGAGAAGTAATAGGACAGCACGACATGCTCGTTCGTGCTAAGTCCTCACATGACATGCGAGGTAAGGAAGGACGGGAAAAGACACTTCTTTTAACGAAAAAAAAAAAAAAAAAAAAACAAAACAAAACAAAACAAAACAAAAAAACAAACTGTTAAACATTTTAACGTACCTTTTCAATTCCAGTGAAAGGACGAATATGGTGGTGCCATAGCAGTCATAGTACCCATGGTGGTTGCGGGTTGCATTCGGGGCAGTTATTAACAGGCCGCGCCCACACACGAGGCTGCCCGTTGCCTTCGCGTCTCTCCGACTCCTTCCTCGCCGCTGTCAGCGCCTCGCACTCCTCCAGGTGCGGGGCCGGCGGCACGATGGACGGCAAGGTGATTTTTGAGGGCGGCATGTGGACGTCGTGTTTCAATCCGTAGGCCTCCTCCCATAACTGACGGATCAAGACAGGGTGGGAAGGCGAAGTGATGAGTTCAGGGGAAGAGCGAGCGAGACGCGAGGACGGAGTAGCGAGGAGCGAGGAACGAGGAGCGAGGAGAGAGGGGAAGTCAACTGTGATTTGGCGTATCAGGATTCGCAGGCACGGCGCGCAAGCTAAGCTCTTGGAATGTATTTCCCCATCAGTAAGCTGTGCTGTGTGCAGACGGGAGCAAGCACCAACTCACTCGGAAAAGCGACATGGCTCGCTCGATACCCGCCTCGCCGCCGATCTGCCCACCTGGCGTGTTGGGCATCTGCGCCAAGACGGACGGCTGCGATGCGCAGAGCAAGAGGAGCGAGACGACGATGACGAGAGACATGGTGGTGTGGCGTCCTCGCAAGAAACGAATGAGATGTGATGTCTAATGGAAGGGCCAAGAGATATATCGTAGCATTGGTGACCATCCCATTGGTGACCATCACCCATTGGTGATGGCCCATCACGAGGTGACGTGGAGTTCCTCGGAACCGCACGAGCGAGGACATTCCTTCCTATCCGACGCGGTTGCGCTGCAGTGGCAGTGGCGCGCACTGCGGCTGCAGTGGTGGTGTGCTCATCTGCCGTCCTTGCTCTGCCTCTGGTCCTTCTGGCGTTCAGTGCTCGGGGGAACGTCTCAAATGTCCACGAGTGGAACTGCTGCGTTCCTGTAGGTTTTTGCGAGGTGCGGGCAGCGGGCAGCGGACTCTTTTATAGAACCCCTCCACCATCGCCACACCGAGGACTTTATCGAACCGCGCTTTTAGCGAATGCAGGTGCATACATCACCCAAGCCAGTGACGTCTTGGCTCTTCCACTGGCGGCTGGGTGTATGCATGGTCAGCGTTTCAACTTACGGTGACTTCCGTGTTGTGATGACCACTGACCAATCCTCCCGAACCCCCATTTGATACTTTTAACCCTCGACATCCGCCGGCGGCGTCCGTTTACAAACCGTAAGGCGAAAAGAAACGAAGTGTCTGTAACCGACGTAACTTGTATCTCGAGGGATGTCGTCGACGGATGTCGTCTGCCAGAGCCCTCCCCTCGACATCCGCCGGCCGATCCGGCGGAGAGTGAAGTCAAGCGCTCCGCCAGAAAGCTGAACTGTGTCTAGGAGGGGGGAGCCTCCTTGCCCTTTCGTTTCAGTATCTCCTCCCCAACCGTCCCGGCAGCGCAGCAAATCTCGATGTCTTTGCCCCCCTCCCCCGCAGCAATTTCCCCCATCCCCGAGGGGCGAGGCGAGGTACACCACGGCTGGGCTCCCCCCTTCCCTTCCCTCCCTCCCGCGCCATGCGCTCAGCACTGGCAGAGCAGTCTTGCGCGTTTCAGACAGACAGTAGAGCAGACAGGTCGGACAGAGCGGACCGAACCAACAAGCCACGGGGGTGGTCGTGTCTATACAGTCGATGCTCACCTAATCCCGTGGCATTTGATGGTCCCCGATTGCAACCTATCCCTCGTGCATTCGAACACGAACAACGGCCCCTCCACTAGAAAAACGGTTTGCCGAACATGCTGAAAAGTACATCTACGGAGGCGCAACCAGACACACCAAGGGATGTCACCCCCAAATTTCCTGATATTTCGGAATTGAAACTTCTAGGTTCATTACAGTTCCGATTTTGGCGATGGCGAAATCGACGAGGCTCTCGAAACAAAATGCACGTTATAATCCTCTCCGCCCTAAAATGTTTCGTGAGCCTAATGGGAATGGCTGTACTCATGACATGTCAAAGTGGGCAGTGTCAACTTGGCCTTTTGACACTCGTCAACATTGTTGGTAGACTATCAAGAAATCGCAAGGTGACAGCCAATAAACATTGTCGGACACTTTTGAATTTGGCACAGTGGCGTTCACAGCCTTTGTCCCCCGACAAGGGGCCAACGTCATAGGCATGCAACTTTCGTCTATACGCCTATGCAGTTGTATGCAATCTTGTCTATGGTTCAGGGGAAACTATACGTACACTTGGTTGGGAATGCACCTCCGTGATTGGTTCCGCCAGAAACGCACCCCAGCTCGTCACATTCGTCAACCAGTCACGGAACCCAACCAAGTGTTAAACGCGTCCAAGTGTAAAACGGAGAAAAATATGAGACGCGAGCTTTAAGCCCGTTTTATCACTTTTGGTCACATGGGTATCTGTTACGAGTGCAATTGAGTGAGCGAGCGAGAATTGCACAATCGAAGCAAAAGTACAATGAGCGAAGGAATGAGCGAACAATATATAGCGAAAGCCTAGCGGGGTAACGGTCATGCGCGAGAATGTGGTGCGCGACGGGCCTAGCGCCGAGGTTGGGAATGTCGAGGCGGAGGACCGGAGCGCGGGTTACCAACCAAACCGTGAGGTTGGGTCGTTAGGTGTACAGTGGCGGGAGCAATGGTCGAGGCGAGAGAGTGCGTGTACATCTCGAAAATTGCGGCTGCGGAGATACTCGGTAAGGACGGGGTGGCTTTTAATTATGTCCAGGGGCACCCAGTTGTCCTCGGTGGGCGTGCGGTCCTTCCAGCGAATCAAGACCTCGATCCTGCGAGCTCCACGTGGGTCACGAAGTCGGTGGCTCAGGATTTTTTCGGGTGTAATGACTGGCTCTGTTGGTGGTCGTGTCATGCTGGCGGGGCGGTTGCGAGGCAGTTGGCTGGTGGAGGGGAAGTATGGGCGGGTTAGCTGACGTGGAATGACGGGCTGACGTACCAGTCAGCAGGGAGGAGGAGGTGGGCGGTGACGGGTGTGATCATGTGGCTGATACGGAATGGCCCACAATACCGGGGGCGGAGATTCGGAGTAATGGGCAGGCGGAGGTTTTGGGTGTCAAGTAATACGAGGTCGTCGGGCTGGTAAGTAACGGGGCGACGGTGGCGGTCGGCGTTACGCTTAGCAATGATGTTCTATTTTTTTTTATGGCGTATGCTGCCCGGGTCCGTGCTGCCTGTAATATTTCTGCGAACTGTTGCGCGCGTGGTACCGGGTTGTCGGGATTCGGGGTAATGTGTACAGTTGGGTTTTGTCCGTAGTTGAGGTAAAATAGTGACTGCTGCGTCGTGGCTGACGTGGAGTTGTTGCATGCGAATTCGATGAGTGGCAGCTGCTGTTCCCATGTTGTCGGGTCGTCGCACGTGGCTCAGATTAACTGCTCCATGGTTTGGTTTGTCCGTTCTAACTGTCCGTCGGTTTCGGGGTGGTACGATGAGCTAAACTGTAGTCGCGTGCCGAACTGCTGCCACAGGTTCCTGCCACAGTTGCTGGTGAATTTCGTGTCGCGATCGCTGATGATTGATGTTGGTATCCCTGTCGAAGAGAAAGGCCCCGCCCTCGCTTGGGCGCAGCCGATCTCGCCGTCGACGAGAAGTTCGCGACGGATTGGTCGACGAAATGGGCTTCTGCAGTTCGACGGAAGTTGCGGTCGAGCAGGCTCTGCTCGACAAGATCCGGTCGACGAGCTCTGCGCGATAAGCTCTGGTCGACGATCTCTGCGCGACGAGCTCCCGTCGAAGAGCGCTGGTCGACGATCCTGGTCGAGGAACTCTGGTCGAAGAGTTTGGGTCGAGGAGCTCTGCTAGAAGAGTTCGGGTCGAGGAGCTCTGCTCGGCGAACGCTGTTCGACCGAGCGATGTCGAGCTGGTCGACCGAATTCGCAGAGGTGTGCGAAACTCTGCGGAGGTGTGCGAACTTTCGCCCAGGAGGTTTTGACGAAGTTCTACCTGCGGAACGGCATCACGTGGTCGACGGTGCGCACCTGGCGAAACCGACGACACGTTTTCTACCTGGCACCTCCGCAATGTTCCTGACGGTGAAACCGTCAACCTGCACCTACTTGGCATGTGCGCACATCTGCGCAGATAGACAACGTGCGACTGCAGATAGTTACCTGCGACTGCAGATAGTCACCTGCGACTGCAGTGCTGGCAGACCGCGCGCAGTGCAACGCTGGCAGACAACTCTGCTGCAGCGTTGGCAAGCCGCTCCTCTGCTGCGCTGGCAGATTTTGCCCTTGCTAGGTGTTGCATGCCATTCCAGTCCTTTTGTTCTGCATGCCTCCATTCTACTATCAACTTTTCAATGCAAAATTGTTCTTTCAACTTCCTTTGTGGAAACTCTTGCAAAACTTCTCTGTGAACACAAGCAAGAAGTAAGAACGTTAATGCAAGCTACGATCACTCGCACAACCCCGTGCCCTACACCGTAGTCCACTCCCGTTGTGTAGTGACTCTCCGCATGTTGCGGTGAGCGTGGACGACCCCACGTTAGAACCTTCAGATTAGGCGACTTCTGCGTTCATTACCTAAGTCGTTGTAGGCTGGTAGCCGTCTTAGTCGCCATGGTCGACCCTGTAGTCGAAGCAGGCGTAGAAGATACTCTGCAGGCAAGAGAGGCTGGTGTTCGGGCACGCCACGAGGCTGGCGGGTACGGCAAGGCGGACTTGGAGATTCTGCTCCCTGGAACTCGTGCGCAGTGGGCGCGTGAGCACCCCCCTCTCCGTGCAGAAGTGGACGACGCGTACGCCTCTCCCCGATCCGTGCACAACGAAGGTGATGGCGGCAATGTTGTCGGCGGTGGAAGCACGAGGGTTCGCGGAGTGATTCGGGCCGCCGACGTCGGCGTTGGCGGTGTGCATGCGCAAGTGCTGCAATCGTCTGCGACTGGAGGTAGCTCGAACGGCAACGTCGATGGTCGACGCCAATCTCCTCTGCGGAGTGGAGTCAGGCCGACTTCGGCGACTCATCCGTCGGCTGGTCGAGACGGAGGCATCGCGTATTTTAAATTTTCGCCGGACAAGATCGCTGTGCCGAAGCCGCTCGAAGGTCGACACGACTTGATCACGTGGATTGAATCCATCGAGCCTCAGCTGGAGATCGCTGGATTGAAGAAGTTCGTCGACGGCAATGTTGAGACGCCGGACGCAGACGACTCTGAACTATGGGCGGAATTTCGCGCTGCTCATCTACTGACCTTCATGGTCATTTCGAGGTGTTGCTCGCCTCTGGTCCAGGTCGCTTTGAAGCCGTGCAGACAATGGGTGGATGCTGGCTACCAAGCGTGACAGTACATCATGCGCACCTACAAAGCGACCGACGACCTCTACATCAATCAACTGGAGAAGAAGTTGACCAACATTCGTATGGGGGAGCAGAAATCGGCGACCGAGTACTGCAATCGAGCACGGCGAGTTTTGGCCGATCTGCGGATGGCCGGCGTCGACTACTCGGTGGCGTCGTATGTCACTCACGTCATAAGTGGCCTCCTCTCGGGCTACAATCTAATGCGCCGGATGCTGACAATTCCCGGCACGCGCGAGACTCTAAACGAGGACTCGCTTTTGAGCCACATCATCCAGGAC